TCACTTTCTTCTTTGCAGTATAGTAGAGATGAAGCAGATCTAAGGCTTACGGTGGGGTGGGAACAACTTGTGGTCCTCCATATGTTGTTGGACGGCACTTGATGGAAGAAGCAGAAAGAATGTAATGATTATTATAAAGCTTATATTGCTTGCTTGCTTATTTATTTATTTACATTTCTATATTGCATAATTTAGTGGCAAGCCACAGCACTGAAGATAAAGAAAACAACCACCCCCACCCAACCTACAAAGTGTAACAATATAAAAATATAAAAAGGAAGACAACACTCTTAAGAACCCAAGATGGCGGCAATGGACTAAAATACTGTACAAACTACAAAATACAGTACAATGATTTAACAGTTATAAAAGAAGAATATCCTGAAATGTCCCCTTGAAAACCAATGTTTTTATATGCTTTTTGCATATTAGGAGGTAAGGGGGCCCACACACCTCTACAAATAGAGCATTCCACAAAGAGGTGGCCACCACTGAGGAGACCTGGTTCCTAGTCAGACTTCCTGGCCTCCCTTGGGGTGGCCACCTGTGACGGCTGTGATGATGTCACCTGCCTGTCACTGCTATGGCTGGAGTTTATCTACCTATGGCAGGACAGGAGGTGGGACTTCAGTGGGTGGAGTTAAGGTATATAAGGGGGGAGTGAATGTGGTGAGGAGAGAATTGGGAGATGGGAAGATTGGGATGAGATAGGGTTCGGTTAGGAACTTTGTGACGTGAAAGGAGGACGTCACACCACCCACAGCATCAGAGGCTGAGAGGGGCGATATTAAACTCTATGTAGCCATATATTTTCACTATGGTAAAGAACTTGATATTAACACAGTACTCCAAAATGCTTGATCCCGAAACCTAACCAGGACTGGAGAAGGAGTGAATAAAGAGCTGCTTGCCCATATCAACATGTGAGTTGTTCCTTGTCAGAAGGACATGAAAACATTACAATGTGATTATAGTGTCACAGATGCCTGAAACTACAGTTTATGTATAACTGGTAGGAGACGGTTCTCGGACAACTTTCCTGGACAGAAAGGAAACAACAGGCAGTTGACAGGAAAAAAAATGGAATAAGAGCACCTAGTAAAGAAATACAAGGCTAGCTTTGTGAATTAATGAGCAAATTGATAAATTAAGGGAAATTAGTAAGCTATTTGTATACATCACTGTGGCGTCCGCCCAGGTCATGAATATTCATATACCATCTGCATAGACTAATGGGAGTGATGGGGCGGAGTCACAAGATATAAGAGACTCAGCAGGAGGAGGGGGAGTTAGGTAGAGAGAGATTGAGAGTTAAGGAAGTTTTGGAGTTTGGGTGGGAGAGTGGTGGTTGAGAGGGATAAAGGAGAATGTTTGTTTAACAGTTAACAACATTGCTTATCCCATCAACATCTGTAACAATAACCAATTTCTATTTGGTTCTTTTAAAATGACATATGGCCTGGACATCTATCATTTATAATAGGTATTGTTGATGAAATCAACTGGTGGCAGCTGAGGGGCATGTAGTGTGAGCTTCTAGTTTGGTGAAACAATCAGGGGCCACATGGGGGTTGTGACAGTCACATATAAAAGCTACATTCTAATTTATGTTTTGATTGGTGTATGAGAGCTGGATGGTACCAATTCTCCCAGAGCCAAGCTGGTCTCAAGACACTGATTTTCAATATAGAACTTTTGAATGGCATAGAAGTTTTCTTTATTTGACTAAGACCTCCTATTTAAGGATTTCCCCAGTACAGTTTCTGATATGCCTCACTATCATGTACGCAGACTAGGGTTGTTGGGGCTGCCTTCAAAAGTCATCTAAAGGGCTGGTCTCTGCCCATTTCTCGCTTACAGCAACCAATGGTGGAAGGAGCTAGTAGTGACAAGCGGGACCAAGGGCAAAAGTGGGTTTTCCTAAACACACACACCTCACTCACATTCTGGAACTGTCTCACCCTCACCCTACTCCTTTATTCCCACAGCCTAGCTGAGGAGCAGGAAAACACCCCTCTCTTCCTGCCATCAGAAGTGCTTGTAGCTGCTTTGTCTGCTGCCTGCTTTCAAAAGCTGGGTGCCTGCTTATTCAAATTCATTCTCATGTCTTCTCCTTTTCCCCACAACAAACTGCAAAACTGGGAGATCAGCAGGTGAGAAGCACAGGCGGGACAGTCCCTTTTTTGTTCTCATAGTCCAGATTCTTCTGCTTCCAGGATTACAAATCCAGCACATTTTGTTAACACGGATAATAACATCACCTGCCACCTCTCCTCTCAGGTTTTGCAGTTCCTTTGAAGCAATCTTCACAGAAGTGGGAGAATAAATTTTCTTAGCAACAATATATTGTTGTGAGTGTTCTCTGACCTTATGTAAAGTACTTGGGACTGGCTTGGGCTTGAATTGGCAATCAATATCTATTAGGTATACAAAAGACCCAATTCCTGTTAGAGATTAAAGCTGCTAGATCTGGTTTGCTATACAATTCTCTGCATTTTAATTCTCTTGGTGAGAGGGCTATGGAGCACTCTTGATGAGCATCTGCACTTCAGAATTTACCACACCACCAGTGCCCTGCAACATAGAGGCTTGACCACAAAAGGAGCAGCCACCTTAGCCTACATTCACTCACCTGTACTCTCTCTTTCAGAAGCACTGTAATGGAGTTCGGACCCAGCAAACCTAGTCCTCTTCTCCATCCAATCAGAGTGAGAGTGAGGAGGCAAAGCTGGTGACTTGCCCTCCTCTAAAGACCCACCACCCTGTGCAGTGGTTCCCAACCTTGGGTACCTAGATGTTCTTGTATTAAAACTCCCAGAAGCCTTCACCACTAGCTGTGCTGGCCAGGATTTCTGGGAGTTGTAGTCCAAGAACATCTGGGGCCCAAGTTGGGAACCCCAGATCACTTGCTCCTACTGAATTGCTAAGCCCATACTGTACTCTTCTCCTCACAGAACTTAACAAGTAGATGCTATGATCCAGAGAGAGGGGCGCCCAGTCAAGATGCATACTAGTGCCCAAGGCTGTTTGTGGCAGAAAACCTCCAAAACAGTTCTATCTCTAGATTGCAGTAACAATGCAGTAATAAATTAAATATGTACTTATTTATTATTTTTCCATGACCCACCCCCAATCAGCTCCCCCGGTTCTGCCTTAGAATCATAGAATAATGGAGTTGGAAGGGGACTCTGAGGCCATCCAGTCGAACCTCCTGCTCAGTGCAGGAATCCAAATCAAAGCAGATCTGACAGATACTTTTCTCTTGAATGCCTTAGGGCAGGGCTCGCCAAGTTCTCCATCATGAGGGGGAAGAAACAGCAGCTATCCTTCATGTAGCAAAGGCTGCTGCCTCCAAACTAAAAGTCCTCTGTTCGCTAAAACAGAGTGGAGAAGGAGGAGCAGAAAGGGACGGGGGGGGGTCAATGCGTTTCTGTCGCGCCGTCTGAATGCAACCGCAGGGGAGGGCGGTGGGTGGTCCTCCTCCGAGGACCCAATTTTTTAAGCCGCACCGTTCAGAGAATAGGGCAGGCAAGTTAGGAAGCCGACGCGTCTCCACGTGTTGCACTGCCGACCCAATCCTTTCTCGGGGATGGTGGACCCAGACCGTGAGGAGGAGCAAGAGAGAAAGCAATCGCCTGCGCGGTTTTCCTTTAACCTCCCTGCCTGCTTCTTCCTACAAGAGCAAAACTCAAAGGGGGAGGCAGGGGATCCTTCTCCCCTATGCTCTGCCAGCCCCCGATGACGCAGCAGAGGGAAGGAGGGACTGCCGTTTGTCTCCTCTTCCCCCTCAAATAAAGCCCGCTGGGTTGGGGGCTCCTTTCCCAACAGGCGGCGAAGCTCCACCGCCTTCTCTTTCTTCCCCATACTTTGCCCTCCTCTCCCCAGGCCGCTGCCTGAGCCAAGAGGGAAGGACGAAAGGTGCCACGTCAGCGCCTCCCTCCTTCCTTTTTCTCTCCCTGTTGCCCTCCACGGGCAGCTTGGGCTGGGCTGGCCCCATGAGGAGGCGGTGGGCCCGCGGCGGGTGCTTCCTTGTCGCCGGCTCGCCCTTGTCCGCCTTGACGGTGAGAAAGCGGAGAGCCGCTTGCAAGGCTTTCCCGCCTTTGGGAGGCTTTCCGAAATACAGGAATCCCCGACCCACCGTTAGGGGAGGGACGAATCTCTGTTCTTTCCCCCTCCCCAGGAGTTTGCAGTGAACAAAAAGACAAGCAGACTAGGCAGTACCTACAACTTGGGGAAGGGACTAAGTTGTTTTGGGAGAGTCGGAGGGCTTGCTGCCCTGATCGAAAGGGTCCCTACAGCCCAGCCCTGTATGCCTGTTTACTCAATAGTGAGTCCCACTGAGTTTACTGAGACTTACTCCCAAGTAAGTGCGTTATGATGGAGACGCAGCCTTAATTTGTATATGATTAGTTTTCAGTGTAATTGTGCCGCTATTCAAAAGCAAGTCTCACTGAATTCATTGGGACAATTCCCAGATAAGCATGTAACAGGACCGCTGTCTGAAAGCAGCCTGTTCTGAGGGCCAGGATGGGCCACAGAAACCGATGGTCGGTATTTTTGCTGGTTTTTCCAGTACATGTTAGTCAGTGGGCTAGAGCTAATTGACAGAGTTAGGAAGTACTGTAGTTTGTGGTAGTTATAGTGCCACAAAAATATGATATGAAGTTCTAGGTTGCAATTTTGTCTATGCAGTTCAAAAGAATAGAAAGAACCAAGCTATTGACTATGTAGTGATTTTATATTTTTCATATGATCTGGGTTTTTTTTTCAACATAAGGAGAATTCCAAAATAGCACCTGTGAACTGAAATATTGGCAGATTTTAAATTGTCCCCACTGATGATGCAAAACCTCTGAAAACTGATGATAAAGATTAAAATCCTGGCAATGGGACAGCTCTAAAGAGCAGACTAGCTGAAAGAGAACAGGAAGAATCTAATCTGTTACTAGTTTATTGGGATGAGAGGAAGAAGGAGGATGCAAGACCATGTGGCTGTTTATTGGGATGAGAGGAAGAAGTTACTAGTTTATTGGGATGAGAAGAAGAAGGAGGATGCAAGACCATGTGGCTGCTGCTGAGATTTTAGCTGTAGTTGTGGATCTTGGCCCATTTTTCTGAAAACCAGGAAATGCCCCATACTTTGATGTGGCTGCTGAGTTAGGGCGTTCCACAAGAGGAGGTTGTATTGATGAGGAAACCTCTGGAACTATGGGAACGGCTTCCTCCATGGTGAACCCAATGGGCACTTTTGGGGAAGTGATTGAAGACACGTATGAGGGAGGTGGTGGTGAAGCCTGTGAAATCCCTGTGGAGGTGAAACCCAAAGCTCGCCTTCTGCGCAGTTCCTTCCGTCGCGTAGGTACATCACGGGCTGGAGGCCTTATTGGTGCCAGCTTCAAGTCCACAGCTTCAGTACAAGAACTGGAGTGTATGGCAGAGTATGAACGTCTGAAAAAAGAGTATGAGATCTTCCGCATCAGCAAGAACAATGAAGTGGCAGCGATGATGAAGAAAGAGGCTAAGCTGGACACGGAGAACAAGCGCCTGAGGGCAGAGTTACAGGTAAATGGGGAAGGGTGTGATGTTATGGGCTGGCATAAGGCGATGTAGACTATCGCTTACATGGTTATAAAAAAATTAACATGACTGTATCTGCTGTCTTTCCATTGTATGGAAACATAGGGCTTTCAGTTGGGTGAGGTGCTTGCCAATTCTGTCCTTGAGAGCTTCCAAGAATATTAGGGGGGTTAAGCAAAGAATTCTAAGTACCTCATCAAACTGCAGATTCCAGGTTTCCTAGGATGCAGTCATAGCTCTTACAGCAGCATCAAGTTTCTAAAACCTCATAATATAGATATGCTGTTACAATCCTGTAGTTGTTTACTCAACACAATCTTGTACACATCTACTGTACTTAGAAATATATCCCACTGAGTTCACTTGGGCTTAATAAGCAGTTGTAGGATTGCAGCAGAAATGAAATAAGGCCTGCAAAAGTTTACTGTAAGCTTCTCATTTTCTTTTCTGACACTTAAAATGGTAGCAGTCAAACATTGTGAATTAGAATGTTTTACTCCCAGGAGGGAAAAAATAACACTGTTTTTTTTTCAGGCACTTCAGAAAACCTATCAGAAAATACTCAGAGAGAAGGAGAGTGCTCTTGAGGCCAAATACCAAGCCATGGAGAGAGCGGCTACATTTGAACATGATCGGGATAAAGTCAAAAGGCAGTTCAAGGTAAATCGCCTCTAATAGCAAATTCAGTTGTTGAACATCAGATACTGTGAAGTCAAAACAGAGAGGTACTGGCATGCTTGAGAAGGTCCCATTGTTTGCAGATGTGGAAAAAATCTCCAGAAACAAATGATGAATTTTGTAATTACAAGGAGCGTGTTAATTTCAAATCAGCTTTAAAGGAATACACAGGATATTCTGTATACTTTAAAAAGAGCTGTGCACATTTTGTCTTTGTAAATTCTGGATGGTTTGAATTTTCCTATATTCAGTCTCTCTAATGTGTAGATTTTTAGAGAAACCAAAGAGAATGAAATTCAGGACTTACTGAGGGCCAAGCGAGACCTGGAAGCAAAACTGCAGAGGCTGCAGGCTCAAGGCATCCAAGTATTTGATCCTGAAGAATCAGATTCAGATGACAGCTGTACTGAGGTGACTGGTAAGAAGTATGCATATGATTTTTGCTGGTCGTGTAAAGTATTGTGTAAATCCGTCAAGTACAAAATGGTCACAGAGCTATTAGCTGTTACTCATTGATTGTGTGTGGGAAAGCTGAGTGAGGGGGTGTGAGGAGGAAGGAGATTTATAATTTTAATGGTCCACTGCTGGAAAAGGAAAACAGGTTCATCCTCCACACTTCACATCTGTCCTGAATACTACTGTTCCAAAACATTCTTCTATAGTTTTTAAAGATCTGAAACAAGTGATGGGGAAATGGGGAAAAGAATGCAAAAATCACATTTGTTTTGCTCCTGACTTTCATCATGCTTGTGTGTTTCACTTACCAAATTATTAGTCCATATTTATACCTTGTCTTTCTTCCACTGAGGTCAAGATGGTATACATGTCCCCCTCTACTTTAACCTTTCAACAGCTTGTTGGGATGGGTAAGATTAATGCAGTATTGACCAGCCCAAGATCACTCCGTGAGTTTTGTGGCCTGGTAGGGACTAGAATTTGGATTTCCCAAGACCTAGACCAATAGCGTTCCTATGATACAATACTGGTTCATAGGACTAAACTTAAAGGGCCGAATATATTAAAAGAGTGTGGCTAAACTGGCAGTTTCCTTTTTGAGGTTTAGATTTGTTCTTCATCTAAATTGGGACCCCAGACTAGCTTCTTGTTGAGAATCTCTTTTCCAGTCCCCAAATTGTGTTTAGGATTATCAGCTTCTGCCCTCCACGGATTCGTTTATGTCTGTGTGGTTTTCACCTTGCCTTTGCTTTTCTTTTAAGCTACTGGAGCTCAGACTGAGTATTGGACAGGTGGAGCTTTGGGAAGTGAGCCATCTATGGGAAGTATGATGCAGCTTCAGCAGTCTTTTAGGGGACCTGAGTTTGCACACAGCTCCATAGATGTAGAAGGACCTTTTGCAAATGTCAATAGAGGTAAGGACGAATTCTGAGATTCATACTGTGGGGGGAGGGAGAACCTTCAGTAGGCTAAACCATAAAAAGAGTGCAAAGTGTGGAAGTTGCCAAGATACCTGATCAGACAAGAAGTGGAGGGCTTGGGTCTTAAGTCTGTAAGATCTGTGCGTTGTCTTGAAATGGAAGAGGAGGAAGAAGACAATACTGTAAACAGTGAGATGTGGCTCATTAGATAAAGTGATAATATTTGATTTCACTTGTTGAGAGCCAGAAATTTGGGCATGTTTGGTACTTCATCTTAGGCAGACTTGTTAGTCAGTGGAAAACAGAGCAACTGGGCAATCGTTGTACTGTCAAGACTGGAGATAATTCTAGATATTGCATTAAATGAAAGGAAGTCAATAGTAGACAAATTGGTTAGTTTCATCTGTTGTGTAGAGGAATATATAGGCCAGTGAATAAAGAGCTAATAACAGTATTCTTTCTCTGAATCCAGAGTTGTATTTTTTAAAAAAATAAGTGGCAGAATCTTGGTAGATACAATGTGTGACTCAGTTTATAATACTTCTAGAAATGAAGTATTTCAGTCATTACTTCCAGAAATGACTGAAATATAGAAGTATCCTGTGAAAATACTGTAGGATCCTTGTATCTGCTGGATTGATATCCATAGTTTTGCATATATGCAGTCTTAAAATATTAAAAATAATAAATTTAAAATCCCAGAAACACATGTATATGTGGGTTGTTTGCCAGAAAAGGCCGCTAAGAGGGAACCACAGACTATATTGTATAGGTAAATGCTGCCATTTCCCCTACTTGCCCACCAGCTTGAGGCGATACTGTCTGTTGTCATCACCAGCCATCCTCGGTTATTGTCCTTACAGGTACAGGAGAGCCATGGGCCCAGCAGACTATAGGGTTGGCTTTTGTTATCCACAGGGGAGGGGGGGGGCTTGGAACCAATCCCCCATGGAAATAGGGGTCATATTGTATTCAGTTTTTCATTGTTCATATAAGTGAAAGCCTAATTATTTCTACAGATCAGCTTCACACATCTGCAGATTAGCATTTTTGTTTTTGTATTTGCTTTCTGTTTGTGATTATTTTGCAGATGACTGGGATGCAGCTGTTGCCAGTTTACTGCAGGTCACTCCACTGTTTTCCCATTCTTTGTGGAGTAACACAGTAAGGGTATATCTTATCAAGACAGAGGAGACTCAGCAAGAAGTAGACATCTTCCTACATGTAAGGCAACTCAGATACAGTCTCTGAGTGCTTATATCAATATTGACAGCATTTATTCTGGTGCCATTGAAGGTGTGATGGATGGCATTAGAGCCTTTTCTGTTGTAACCATGGTTATGGAGTACTTGCCCAAAGGAGGCCTACCTGGTTCCATCACTGCCTAGCTTTTGTGTGGCCATATTTTGAAGGAAATCTTTTTGTTCTTTAATGTGAGTGGGATGAAATTAATTCAGCCTTATTGGTGTGAGATATGAGCTTGGTCCTTGCTCAACTAGATCTCAAGGGGGAGACAATCATGACTATTTCAAGGAGCCTTTGGGCCTTATGTGAGCTGCTCTGAAATTCTTGCTTCCTACTATATGTTAATTTTAATGCTAAATACCATAATTGCAGCTCTTTATATTTGGTGTTTTATGTTGTGAAACAAGCAGTGTTTTAAGACTGACTCTGAGCATGTTGTGAACCTATTTGAGTGTACGAGAGTGGCCAAAATCCTGTCACTTCACATAGCAGATCATACTAGAGTAAATCCATTGAACCAATGAGTATTTGATGAGACAACTCCTCCGTAGGTCCTATGGATTCAAATGAACCTACTCTAAGTGCTAAGCAGCAGGATTTTGGCCAGGTGTTATGGATTCTTGTAAAGTTCTGATTCATATCCCAAATCCTGGTTCAGATCCTATGTGCACTATAAATAATGGTTTGTTTCTCTCAGCTTCGTTTTTGATTATTGTAATTGGGTGCATATAACAAACCCACATTTCTTCTCAATTTTCAGAAATACTCTCCAAAACTTCAGAAGTACTGTGAGACAATGGAGTACTTCTTCCAAGTTGTTCATTTTCCAGTAGAGACTGAAACTTCTTTCCAGGCTGTTAGGAAGTGGGAAATTGAGAAGAGTTCTCTGGCTGTTTTGTTCTTACATCTAACTCTGCCAAGGTGAGTTAACAGCCTAGGGAGCCATTAAGTAAAAATTGGCTAGTGCAGTAATAGAACAGAATACGTAATACTGTGAAATTGTATCTAAGGAAACCAATGGAAAATATCTTCCATCTTCTCTTATTTTAAATATACCGACCTTTCCTTTATACCTCAGGTTTTTCAGTATATAATTTTCAAAGCTCATCCTGAGTTTATCTAAGATTACTCTAACTATGAAGCTGTATCTGAAAGGAAAAACCTGCCTCTTTCTGCAACATAACATTTTAGTACTGGGATGTTTCGAAAGAGGGCTGGGCAACTATTGCTTTTGAGGTCCTGTCCATTTTTGTGTTCTCTTGACCCTCTCCTCTTAGAACATGTGAAACAGGGAGAATTGCTGTTCCCAGAAGCTTCAGTGAGACTACGTGTTCTCCTTTGAAGCAGATGTACACTCTGGTTTCTTTTGTCACTAAAAGCTCATGATCAAACAAGTCTTTTTGCTACTTATGGTGCTCCTCTGGATACATGGAGTTGATCATTTCTGTTTTGACATCTAACAGTCATAGTAACAATATTTGAAGATGCCAAATGGAAATGAAAACATAATCTGATACTCCATAGTTCTACCGGATACTTGGTACAGTGGTGCCTCGTCTTATGAACTTAATCCGTTTCGGAAGATGGGCGTAAGTTGAAATGGCCGTAAGTCAAAACACCATTTCCCATTAAAATGCAATTAATTTGTTCCGTCTGAAGAAAAAAAATCACAAAAAAATCACTGCAAGACCCATTGGAAACATGATGAATCCCTTCCGGCAAAAAGGGGGGGGGGAAGAAAAGCAATCAAGCGTGCAAGACAGATGGAAATGGGGAAAAAGCAATGCAAAAAGCAAGCGAAGCAAGCAAGACAGATCGGAAATGGGGAAAGAGCAATGGAAACAGCAAGCGAAGCATGCAAGACAGATCAGAAATTGGGAAAAAGCAAAGCACCAACAAACAAACCCCCAAGACCCATTGGAAATGGGGGAAAAAACTCCAAAAAGCAATCAAACCCACCAAGACCCATCACAGCACAGAAACATAACCCCCCAGCCCAAAACCACGCTGCGAAAACACCCAGAACAGTTTTTAAAAAGCAGAAAGCAGCACCTTACCTTATCAGGCAGCCTCCTCCGATCGCACACTCTCTAACTGCTTGGGGACCTCTGCTCTAGATCCTCCCTGCCCTGGTGTGTGTGGGGAGGCGTCCCAAGTGAGGCACAGAGGTGGGAGGCATGTTGCATAATTGTAATTGCATGAGCATTGAAGGTCTGGAGGTTAAGGAGGGGCTGAAGTCTGAACAGGACTTGTTAGATTACTTTCTAAAAAGTGATTAGTTAGAAGTCCATGGTACAGTGGTGCCTCACTTAATGATTGCCTCACTTAACGAAGTTTGTTGCTGCTAATGTTAGTGTTAAATAGTTACTTGTAAATATTTATATTACCAATCAGTAAACATATAATTACTCCATAATTATAAAGGCAACATATTACAGTTACATTGGAAAAAGCAGGAAATTATCACTCATTGACTTATAATCATAATGTGATATACAATGGTGCCTCAACTTACGAACATCCCAACATGCGACCATTTCGAGTTACGACCAGCTCCGGATGTAAGATTTTGCTTCTACGGTGGTACCTCGACTTGAGAACATCCCTACATACGAACGATTCGAGTTAAGAACAGCTCCATTCACAAAATGTTGCTTCGACTTGAGAATGGTGCCTTGGCTTAAGAACCAAAAAAAGAAGAAAAAAAAAAACCTTTCCTGCCTTTTTTTGACCTAAGTTCACCTTAGGTCAAAAGAAGAAAAAATTATAAAAAATTTGCCCCCTAGTGGTAGATACGGATTAACCGGCTTTGCATTAGTTCCTATGGGAGTTAATGCTTCAATTTAAGAACAGCACCTTGATTTAAGAATGAAAAACAGCAGATTCAGATTAAATGGTTTTTAAGGCATTCCTATGGGAAATGGTGCTTTGATTTAGGAATGTTTTGATTTAAGAACGCAATCCCAATACAGATTAAGTTCTTAAGTCGAGGTGCCACTGTACTTGCGACTGGAGCTTCCACTTACAAACAGAAGAAGGCAGGGAATTCAAATTGCTAACTGTTGGTGGTGAAGAGGCTGCTTCTTTGTAGCTCTTTCTCCCCAGCGGTTAGACAGTGTGGGATTAGAGGATGCCTCGGACTGTCTGGTAATGTGCTGCTTTCTACTTTTTAAAAACTGTTCTGGGTGGGTTTTGCAGTGTGGTTTTGGGCTGGGTGATAGGATTATGTTTTTATGCTGTGATGGGTCTTGCAGGGTTTGTTTGCTTTTTGGGGCTTCCCCACCCTTTCCAATGCTTACAGGGTTTGTTTTTCTCCCCCCCATTTCCGATGGGTCTTGAACGGTTTGTTTGCTTTTTCCCCATTTCTGAAGGGTCTTGCATGGTTTGCTTTTCGCTTTGCTTTTTTTGCATTTCCAAAGAGTCTTGCATGGTTTGTTTGCTTTTCTTTTTTCTTTTTCCCTTCGACAGGAATGGATTAGTTGTATTTCCAATGGGTCTTGCAGTGGGTTTTTTTTTGTGATTTTTCTTCTTCTCACATTTGTAATCGTTTCCACAGGGGGGAGGGGGAGGAAAGGGTTTGAAAAAATTGTTTGTTAAGAAAAGTAGGTTTTTTCATCCTCAGTTTTTAAAAACACATTGTTTGCTTCAGAATCCTTGATCTTTTGGATTGGAACTTCTGTAGAAACATATGTCCTTGGGGCTGATGTTCATTGCACTGTTTACTGCAGCAGAATAGTGTAGCACAAGAATGCTGATTTCCAATATAGCTTTCTTCTGGATGAATGTGAAGAAGCCTTTCTGAAGAACCCTGAAGGGAAGCCCCGGCTTATCTACCACCGAGTGGGAGATGGACAAGTCAGTTCAGATTCTGCGGAGCAGTTAATTGAGCAGGTTCATTATGTGAACAAAGCCAAGGTAATAAGAAATTACCCAAGGTTGGTACATTTACCACAACTGGTTTTCTTCTTGTCTTGTAGTAGTGCACTTGTAAAAGTAAATATAGCCTTAAAAGAAATTGTACTTTGCCCCCTTTTTACATTTCGTGGAGGATGCTGTCAGCTAATGGAATTGTGCACAGTTAAGCAACTGGATACTGCCTGGGGGCTTTGAGGAGTTGTAGTTCAACTCATCTGGAGGGCAGCAGTTTGGGGAAGGCTCTCGGATAATTCAACAGATACTTTGACTCCACTACGTAAAGACCATAGTGCCAGACATGGTTAGGAGAGGTTGTTCTGGAAAAGGGAAAAACCACATCTAGTCTAAAGTTGAATGGAAACTGTATTTTGATAAAAAGCAATATCACAGATCATCTAGGCCACCTCCCAATGTTACTGGAGTAAAGGTCCCTTTATCTGTAGCCAGCAAAGCCACAGATGACCTATATCAGGGGTCTCCAGACTACGGCCCGCGGGCCACATCCGGCCCACCTTGCTGTTTTATCTGGCCTGTTCCCTTCAGCCTGTGCACGCATGGGGGCAGGCGGGTGCGTATGCGTGCATCTGGGTGCGTGGGCAGACATCCAGGTGGGCGGGATTGCATGTGGGCAGGCGGGTGGATGTCTGGGTGGGCAGGGTTGCATAGAGGTGTTTGGTGGGCATGCATGCATGTTCCTTTGGCCCTCAAAAGGTGCATAGAGGTGTTTGGGTGGGCATGTATGCACGTTCCTTTGGCCCTCAAAATTGTGGAAAATACACGGCGTGGTCCTCACTCTGAAAAGTTTGGAGACTCTGATCTAAATTGTAGTCAGCTAACATTTTGTCTTCCCCTATTCTGATCTAGGCTTTTGAGGAATCAGGAATTCAGATATTGGCAAGGAGAATAGTATAGTGCACTGGTTTTCATTATCAATATGTTTAATTTTTTTAAAAAAAGATACAAGTTTTAATATGCATGAGATTTTTAGACTTTCCTAATTCTTTATTTTGGGAGTTCTGCCTGGCATATAGATACTTATAGATAAATGTGGCTCATCTGGGAGAAAGGCCAAAGTTGGATGGCTGTGTAACTTCCTCAGGCCTAGGTTCCTGTTCAGAAAGGAAGCTGCTTCATTGCTAGCTGAGAGATTCATTTTTGAACAGGAAACTAGGTCTGGCTAGGCCACAACGCCTTTTCATCTTTGGCCTTTCTCACAGGTGGAGCACATTTAGCTGTCTGCAGGTGTCTATATGTCAGGTGGAACTCCTAGCATGGAGAATTGTGGGATTTGTAGTTGAAATAAATCCCTAAATCCCTTGCCTAGGTTTTAATAGAAGCTCTTTAGAAGTACCAGCTTCTTAAGTTTACATGTGTATGTAGATACACTTTTTCCAGATACACCTCCCAGTTTCTTCTCCCTCATCTCCAGATCATCAGGCATTCAGGAGGTCCAGAAGAGGGAGCGTTTGAAGTTTATAATTATGTGGAAAAGACCATAAAACAGGTATTTTCTCAAAGGCCTCCACTTTGAGAGTCAAGCATATGGTGGGAAAACAACATATGACTCTAATCTATACAAACAATAAAGTATGTATATTTTCACTGTAGCTCATTTAACATGAGGTTTTGTTTTTATTTTTGTTTAGATATGTAGAGCCATTTTAAACAATATGCTTTTGGGTGTATGTCTAAGATGCTTCAGGTATTTATGTGAAAATGTAAATTAGACATAGAAATAGCATGAATGTGTTTGCAAGCAATTATGTCTTACATGTGACATTGACAATGCCAGCTTCATGCTTACCCTTGGTGACAAACCTACATTTACTTATAAATGTGTGAAGAGCCATCTTTTGAGAAAACTGATGTTTCTTTTATTATATATTCTGGAAAATATACAGAATACTGTACAGATTCAAATGTATTCTGTACTTCACCTACATGTTACTCAAGAATGAGTGACCAAATAGATCATGGGAAGTGGGACTGCAGATGTCCTTGGACTGCAGCCAACATAGCCAATAGGGAGGGAGAATAGGAGCTGCTGTTTAACACCTGGGGGGGGGCTCATCCAGAAGGTTTCTTTTTGGATTCCGAGCCACTATTTTAAAGATTTTTCAACTCACTGCTCCTGTTGCCTGGTGATTGCTGTTAGCACAGTCGAAAGGCATAATTTACAAGCTGCTGTTGCTCTCCACTTGCACTGGGAGTTTAAAATGCCAACCACTTACCTTTTTTAAAAAAAATCTGGTGTACACTGTGAGACCAGTAGAGTTCGCTCTGGGAGTATGATCAGCTAGCAACTCAGAAATTCTATAAGGGTGAAAACAATCTGGAAGCAGTCCATTGTGGTTTTCAAGATGATGACTTGTTGAGAGTGAGGAGATACTCTTGACTTTGTTGTTTATATCAAACAGGAAGGCTGATCAGGTTAAAAGTGGAAATACTGATGGATGGATGTAAACTATCTATTCCTGAGCAGAAAGCTTTTTGAGCTATCAGAATATGGAAACGTTAGGGCTTAATTTCATTTTCAGTTCACTTGTGTGTGTGTGGTGTCTACTGCTTGATTCAGAGGTTAACAGGAATCCTTCATTTCTGATATCCCGTCAAGCTATGGGAAACATGAGGCTTCTGCACACACACTTTCTTTCTTCTCATTCACATGTCAGACACTAGTCGATCATGGTACAAATGCAGGGAGAACTTCACCTCGTCTTTACAGGATGCAGTGCCACCACTACTGAGCACATGGTTCCCCAGTGATGCCAGAAGATTTGGTCTAAAGATTGATTTCCGGTTTTAAATTAGCCACTTAAACGCACTGTAGTTTCTTTAAACTGTGGTGTCCAAGGAAAAGCTGCAGTCTGAAAAAAGCAGTATGATCCTACCATGTTCACTGAGATTGGATTTCACAGAGTCTGTGGTTTGTTTAAAATCAGAATCTCCTTCCAATCTCCTCCTCGTAGTCTCCAAAACGAAGGGGGAAGTGTGTGTACCCTAAGCTAGCTGTGTCTCATTTTCATAGTAGAATACCATTGCTCGCTACTAGAACTGTACTGGTCCCATGCATTGTCCTGTAGCCCATGAATTGCTAATAAAGGATTGTGCTGTTGAGTCTTGTCTTGTGTGTTGTCTTCTGTCTCAGTATCATAGTTCATGATCTCACATCTGAGACTTGGAGGCTAGGCTTTGGGGCAGGTCTGAGCTTCAGTTTCTTGCTCTTTGGCTGCTTCTTAACAAGGAGCCACTCACCGCCTCTTCATAGTATTTGTTTGTATCTCCCCTCAGGACATATTGGGTTGTGAAATCACACAACCAGAAGAGAAAGATGCAACAGATAGTAGTGAAGCCTCTGCTTCTGAAGAGGAGATTTTTGGGGACGTCCTGTGGGATGCGCATGATGAACAAGAACAGATGGAGGCTTTCCAGCAGGCTTCCAACTCGACTTGTGAGCTTGGATTTGAGAAGGTGAGTTCTTTTCCCTCCTTCAGGCAAAGAAGTGTTTATGTCTGTTTCCCTTTCCTTTGCATGAAAGCTGCCACTCTGCAGAAAGAGCAGTGTTTCAGAACAGTCCTGGAGGTTTTCAGTCCTTAGGCTGAAGGAGGCCATATGTGTTAAGCAGATGACACACTTGGTTCTGGGACAAACGCCAAAAGTGTCTGTCTTAACATCTTGTAGATAGGATCCTTGCTTCTCTTTTTGTGGGAGAAATGTCTTGATACTGTTCCAGCATGTTCTCGGCCTCTAGCTACTGAAATGTTCTTGTTTAGTCGTTAATTTGTGTCTGACTCTTCGTCTGCCACTGCCTCCTGGAATTTGGTCAAATTCATGTTGGTAGCTTCGGTGACACTGTCCAACCATCTCGTCCTCTGTCGTCCCCTTCGCCTCTTGCCTTCACACTTTCCTAACATCAAGGTCTTTTCCAAGGACTCTTTAGGGGCTTTTCCAGGGAAATATATCTTCTTTCTACAACCCCAACCTGAACAAACAAAAACAATAACACAAAAAAACCCAAACAAAACAAAAACAGAACAAAAGAAACCCCCATGTTAAAAAAAGGGGGGAAGAGAAAAAAAATCAGAACCCACTAGGGGGAGAAAAAAAATAAGAAAAGCAAGAGGAAAAAAAGCCCATGTTGGGAAAAGGCGGGGGGTAGAAACAAAACAAAAGGAATAAAAAACCATGGGGAAAAAGTGTTTTGTTTTTTTAATAGAACCCACTAAGGGAAAAAAAAACAGAAACAAAAAAAGGGGGAGGAGGAGGAGGAGGGAGTCTTCAGACATCTGAAAACGTCCAGTAGTCTCTTTCAGTCAAGATATCTTCTCTTTCAAACTACTAGTCTTTGCAGGCCTACTTGCTTGTCCCTTGATCACTTGTCTTCTTGCCAGAACCCACACACAATCAGCAGATCTTTGCCTTCTTCAAAAGAGTCAATTTTATGAAGGACTCCGTCCTTCCATATTTTTAAAAAGACAGGATGACCCTAGTTTTATCTCCTGTCGTTCTTAGTTAAGATTGCAGTGTTGGGTTTCATCGTTCTCCTCCATTGTATGGATTCGTTGCTTAAATCCTGGGTCTTGATCTCTTGCTTCTGGGATTCCCAACAAAATGTATTCTCTCAATATCTTCCTCAGAGAAATGTTGGGAATTCATTATAGAATTACTGTATTTTTCCATGTATAATACTATACTTTTGACTAAAATCTTTTGACTAAAAATTGAGGGTTGTCTTATATACGGAAGTAAGCTGAGGAAAGAAAAAACAAGTGGAGGGGAAAGCAGGGATCAAGGTGATCCTGCAGGGCTTTGATCCCTTTCCCCCTACACTTGATAAGCCCCACTTAGATTTCTTTATTTTGGGTTTAAAAGTGGGGGGCATCTTATACATGGGGGCATCTTATACATGGAACGATACGGTAATCCAGTCCACCACTTCCCAGTTCGGATCAGTTTCTTTCTTATGTTCAAAAATGATTATTTTGATATTATTGGATCTCGAATTATCTTCCAGATAGATAATTTTTTTTGCAACTCATCTGCCTTTCGATGTTGCTTTTTCGCTTCACCTTGGACGTCTTCCAGTTGCTGTATCTTGTCCTCTGTTTTTCCTAGGCTTGCCTTAATATCTGCTATTTCTCCCTGGAGTTTTTGTATGTCCTTTCCCATCTGTTGGTTCCCCTTTATTAAAGTGTCCATTTTGGAGAGAATCTGTTCCAGGTTTTTGTAATTCTGAACCCTCCAGCCCTTTTATGGAATCAGCTAATTCAGAGAATGTTTTTTCCACGCTGACTTCAATAGAGCTGCTCAGTGAGGTAGCCACTCACTCTTCTATTCCAGCAGCTTCTTGAGTCCTCTCTCTAGGAGCTTTGTTAGGGGGGCTGTCCCTCTTCCACTCTTTTTAAATGGACAATGCGTTCAAGACTACAATCTGATGATTTGTATGATGATTCACGTGCCCAGCTCTTAGCTGTCCTATCTCTACTTTTCCTCATATGCAAAGCAAAGATTTACAGCATAAGAAGCCAAAGCCGTCTTTAACAGTTCATTAGTTGCCAGCTTCTCTGGCAATCTTTCTGGGCGAAAGCACATTCCACAGATAAGCAACAAAACTTTTACAGTTTAAAAAGCACCTCTATCTCTGCTTGAAGTTTTCATTAAGAGTTTAAGCAAGTTCTATTCACATTTCAAATAGGGAAAAAGGCATTTATCACCCTATTTATATTCCAGGGTGAACAGACGAAAATTTAGCTGCGCATCCCGTCCTGGCGGAAGTGATGTCTCTTGCTAATCTAAATGGCGGGTTTGGGACTAGAAGGATTCATATAAATGAATGGCTTGGAGATGGCGAAGAAGTTTTCCGAAAAAAGAAAAAAAAACTCCTAATGCATCCATATATTCTCCTTTTATATACTTATGTGGCAAAGAAATTTAAAGTATATTTACTGGCACAGTGAATATACTTCCACAGTGGAAAATCAGTTATGGGTGAATCTGTTACTGAAAACCTCTGGTACATTTTTTAAAATTCATGATTGTTCTACAAGTTAACTGAGATTCCATGCATGTTTCCAAAGCCCTGTATTGCCATGCCCATATAGTTAACTTTTAACCACACTAACTTAAATATAAGGCAGTTAAAATCAGCAAGTCATTAATTCACATAGTTGGGACTAAACTGTGGGTCTGTCTAAGAGACTGTTATGTCCCTTTATCAAACCTTGAGGTCAACTAGATGCATAAATAGATTTTTGAGTCACTCTGTTTCTTGGCCCCAAAACGCATCATTCTTTTGTTTGTTTATTTCACAGTATTACGAGCGTCTGAATGACCTGGTGGCAGCTCCAGCACCAATTCCACCCCTCCTTGTGTCTGGAGGACCAGGATCTGGGAAATCTCTCCTTCTTTCAAAGTGGTACTTCTTTTAAAAATCTTTTTCATTACAATTAGTTGGTGTGTCTGCGTTACATGGCTATATCACTTGGATACCAGTTTAACTATGATGGTTGCTGACCTAATACACCCTGGGATTTCTGGTTTGGTGAGGTACTTAGATTTCTCTGTTGTAGTTCAGGGAGATACATTAGTACCTCACAAATTGCAAGATTCCTTCGGCTGAACTGGTATGATTGTAGTATCAAACTGATATAATTGTATAGTGCCAATACACCTATGATTTCTTGCCTCCTTCCAAACAGAAAGATTCAGCAAGACTAGCAGTATATTATATAGAGAAAGAAAACATAAAGGTCCACAGGAAGTTTTTCAGAGCATCCTTTTGTGGCCAGTTTGATTCACCAGCTGAGTATAAGCATAATGGCTCTGCTGAATGCATGATAGTAAATTGCCATTTAACAGCAAGATGCATGAGCATCTTCCCTTCTCTTCCTCTTGCATATCCAAAAGAAAGAACAAATCAAAATGTTATTTTCCTTTAGAACTGGGCTGGGCAGGGATGAAGTGGAGGGAAGGCTCACAGGGTTGAAACTCTGGCACCTTTTGAATAGCAGGAACTATGATATCATTGGCAGCCCTTCTCAGATTCTCCTATTACTTTTGAATCTAGCTACAGTCTTTACAGAAGGAGAGACAAAAATGGGTTTTTCGAAGAATGCAATATTGTTGTGTGGTATACCTGTCGTAATGCAAAGTACTTGGGAGTGTTGTTTTTTTCCTTGAGAGGATGATAAAGAGGCATATTTGCTCAATATAAACTCACTCCTCATATGTTGATATGGACCAATCCAACAACCTGCATTTTGAATTCTTCTTACAGTGGAGGAGGGGTTGACCATAGAGATTGTTATAATGGCCACCTGCATTTCCTAATTTAACACCACATCAGTGGAGGTGGGCACTGGAAATGCAGATGGGACCGTGGATCACTCACCTTATAAACTTCCACGGATCAGCATATCAGCAAGGAATTGCTTTCATTTTTTCTCTTCCCTGTTCACTGAAGGATGAGGAGAAGTAAATTGCTTTCAGCCCAGTTATGGTAGCAAGCTCAACCTTTGAGGAAGCACTGTAGCTCAGTTGCAGGGGGATCTGGCAAGAGGAGTTTGTAGCTATTTAGATGTTATTGGACCATCTTCCACCAGGCTTTGCCTATGTGGCCAGTGGTCAAGAACTTGGAGAGTGTAGGTCCATTAGAAATGGAAGAGATTCTTCATCCTGACACAGAAAATGTGGATGGCTCAGTTTTGAGACTTGTGTGTTCCTGTACTGGCCCAGATGTTTTGCTCTGAGTGACCTTTCTCTCATCTTCCTTTTCCACTCATTTTAAAAACATATTAAAACAAGCCTGAAGTGTAGCAATGTATTTGCAATTAGCATTGCAATAGGCTTGAAGTTAGATATGAAAACATAGCTTTCAGAAATGTGGTTGGGTTGACACTCCTCTCCATCTCCCTCTGCCTTCCCCAACAGGATCCAGTTGCAACAAAAGCACTCGCCAAATACGCTCATTCTGTACCATTTTGTTGGTAAACCTTTGTCTAGCAGTTCGGAGCCTGCGTTGATTCTCAAACGCTTCACTTTAAAGGTACTTCCACTTTACCATGGATGAGCGAACACTTTTAAGGACCCGAATGTCTGTTCATTGAATAAGAGGACAATGAGAATTTAGAGTTCTCATATATTTAATACTAATCTTCTATTTCCCGCTTGATTAAACCTGGTATCTATTTTGTCTTAAATTTGAGTAAATTTGCCTAACATTTCAGGGGGGAAAACAGTCTTTTGAATACCTATGCATGTATATATATGTACATGAATTATATGAGTTAATTTACAAGGGAAAAATCTATAGAGTGTGCAGAGTAATGTTTTTGCAGCTATTTTCAGCCATCTGGATTTAGGCAAATTTACTCAAACAGTCTTTTGAATACCTATGCATATGTGTGTGTGTTTTTGCAGCTATTTTCAGCCATCTGGATAGTGAAGAAAAGACACATGGTTTTTCCTCTACAGTATTTGTGGCTGTAGGCAACCCCAATCTGTTTTTTCAATTGGCAGCACATCATATTATCACTAGGCTAGCTCCTCCTCGTTTACATATTGATGACACATTTACAGAAATAATATTTTAACTCATCTAAATACCCTAACTCTTAAGTCTCCATGGCAGACTTAGAAAAGCATTTTGTCAGCTCCTGCTCTCAGAAGCCTCTGCTATACCTCAGGTTCGTTGGCTGGAATGATTTGGCAGGAATTGTTCATCATCTTGAAAAATACTATTGTAACTGTATTTCTTTTATGTAGGACTGGACCACATCAGTGGGTTCTTGGGGATTATCTGCCCTGGGATCCTTTGAAGGCCACACAGGCCATCAAAAATGAAAAGAAACCAAATATAACAAAAGTAAATGTGCCGGAAAGTCCACTTCTAGTCTTGGAAAAAGTATTTGGTTTCAAATATTGCTAGGAGAGTCACCTGAATCAGTGCTCATTCCTATTTCTGTATGAGGATTTATTTTTTGATGTATGGACAGGGCAGTGGGGCATGAAAACAGTGCCAGGGCTATATCCTTTGCATTTCCCAGCTTTAATACAATCATCTGTCATTCCCTTTTGTGTCTTCTTTTTAGAGTGAAAACACAATATACAGAAAATGTCATGGGATCATAGGATGGAAAACTTAACTGGAATCTAATGGTGTTTGAGTTTGTGTCTAATACCCTCTCCCCCCCTTCAAATTTAGGTAAAACATTTCTGTTCATCTTTATAATTCTGTAGCTTCTGCAGCATTCCTGGTTAGTCTCACCTTCAACACTGGATCCAGCCAAATTATCAGAAGAATTTCCTCGTTGGCTGGAGAAACTTTCTGCTCATCACCAAGGTGGTATTATAATAATTATTGACTCTATCGATCGAATCCAGGTAACATCTGCAATATTTTCTCCTTTCGTATTACTGAGAAATGAATTAGGATTGCATGTGTTATTTGGCGGTTATTTTATTATTCAGCATTTTTGTTTCTATTCAGTAAAGAGCAAAGCAAAGTGTGCTGCTTATAGACCACCACATAGTGCTTAAAGCACTCTCTGATCAGTTTACAATTATGCAGGCTACACATTGTGCCCCTCCCTCCAGTGAGCTGGGTACTCAGTTTACCAACCTCAGAAGATTGGAAAGCTGAGCAAACCTTGAGCTGGCTACCTGGTATTGAACCCTGGGTTACGAGCACAGTTTTGGCTGCATTACAGCAGTTTAACCACTGTGCCACGAGGCTTTTGGAATGCTAAATAATGCTTATTATGCAATAATTGTATTTTCTTTTGTATAAAATAGACAACTGAGTTCCACAAAAAACCACCTGAAGTGTGGTTTTCTTTCCCTTTTAACTGCATTGTGTTGGGTAGAGAGCAGCCAGATTTACATTTGAAGGGGTTTTTCTGTGGGAGATTGCAATAAATTCATGCATTTGTGTTTATAGAGGAAGATAAAAACTAAAAATCTGGAGTGTGAAGATTCTTTTCTTAAAACCGGTGTCTTTAATGTTTTGTTTAATTCTCGGTTTTTGATCTTTTATTTCAATTAAACAATTAAATTTTCAGCAAGCGGAAAAGCATATGAAATGGCTGATCGATCCCCTGCCAGTGAATGTAAGGGTTGTGGTATCCGTGAATGTTGAAACTTGCCCCCAGGCATGGAGGTATGTTTATTTGGTATTCTTCACAATCTGGTACCCTTAATTGCAACCCCCCCCCCGCAGCATGAGGGTGCTAGATAGGGACCTGTAACATATCAAACAGTGCTTAGAATGTAAAGAATGTTTCTGGATTAATGGCTGTGAGTAGGCAGATGTGTAGGAAAAGCCATGGGGTCTTTTCCATCTGTGTAGAAAGGTAAGGTAAAGCAATAGAAAAGGAGTTGGATCCCCACTGAAAGTAAATAGTGGCGATATATAAAATACAGTAGGACCCCTCTATCCACAGGATCAGTATCCACTGATTCACTTATTCACTGGCTGAAAATACTAAATAAAACCACCCAGAAATACTTATTTATTTGTATTTCTAGGGTGTATTTACCAGAACTGGCCGCTGGAGGAAACAAGAGACCATGCAGCCTATCACATTTGACAATTCTGTGTTTTTCTGCATTCCTGGGGAGGGAGGCATTGGAATTGACCTGTTGTGGATACCACGCTCCTATTCTATAAAATAAGCTATGGTATTTTGGGAGAACACGTCAGACCTTTCAATATCATAGTAATCAAAATTTATGCACCAACCACCGATACTGAAGAGGCTGAAATCGACGAGTCTTACAACACCTAAAACTGACACCAAAGAAAGTGTTCTTGTCATTATAGGGGACTGGAATGCTAAAGTTGGGAGTCAAAAGATATAAAAGGAACAACAGGTAAGTTTGGCCTTGGATTTCAAAACAAAGCGGGGCAAAGGCTAATAGAGTTTTGTCAAGAGAACAAGCTGGTCATCGCAAACACTCTTTTCCAACAACACAAGAGACGACTCTACACATGGACATCACCAGATGGGCAATACCAAAATCAGATTGATTATATTCTCTGCAGCCAAAGATGGAGAAGCTCTATACAGTCAGCAAAAATGACCTGGAGCTGATTGTGGGTCTGATCAACAGCTTATAGCAAAACTCAAGCTGAACCTGAAGAACGTAGGAGAAACCACTGGGCTAGTTAGGTATAATCTAAACCAAATCCCTTATGAATACAGAGTGGAAGTGAAGAAGAGATTTAAGGAACTAGATTAGGTGGGCAGAGTGCCTGAAGAACTATGGATGGAGGCCTGTAACACTGTACAGGAGGCAGCAACAAAAACCATCCCAAAGAAAAGGAAATTCAAGATAGCAAAGTGGCTGTCTAACAAGGCCTTACAAATAGTAGAGAGGAGAAGGCAAACAAAATGCAAGGGAGATAGGGAAAGTTACAGAAAACTGAATGCAGACTTCCAAAGAATAGCAAGGACAGACAAGAGGGCTTTCTTAAACGAACAGTGCAAAGATATAGAGGAAAATAATAGAAAGGGAAAAAGCAGAGGTCTGTTCAAAAAATTGGAGATATTAAAGGAATATTTTGTGCAAAGATAGATATGATAAAGGACAAAAATGGTAGGGACTTAACAGAAGCAGAAGACATCAAGAAGAGGTGGAAAGAATACACAAAGGAATTATACCAGAAAGATCTGGATGTCCCAGACAACCCAGATACCGGTAGTGTGGTTGCTGACTTTGAGCCAGACATCCTGGAGAGAGAAGTCAAGGGGGCTTTAGAAAGCATGGCTAACAACAAGGCCAGTGGAGGTGATGGCATTTCAGTGGAACTATTTAAAATCTTAAAAGATGACGCTGTTAAGGTGCTACATTCAATATTCCAGCAAGTTTGGAAAATTCAGCAGTGTCCAGAGGACTGGAAAAGATCATTCTACATCCCAATCTCAAAGAAAGGCAGTGCCAAAGAATGCTCTAACTCCCGTACAATTGCACTCATTTCACACGCTAGCAAGGTTATGCTCAAAATCCTCCAAAGTAGGCTTCAGCAATATGTGGACCGAGAACTTACAGAAGTACGAGCTGGATTTCGAAGGGGCAGAGGAACTAGATACCAAATTGCTAACATGCACTGGATTATGGAGAAAGCCAGAGAGTTCCAGAAAAACAGCTACAGTGGTGCCTCACAGTGACTAATTTTACTTTCTTGGGCTCCATGATCACTGCAAATGGTGACACCAGCCACGAAAGTAAAAGATGCCTGCTTCTTGGGAGGAAAGCAATGACAAATCTTGACAGCATCTTAAAAAGTAGAGACATCAGCTTGCCGACAAAGGTCCTCATAGTCAAAGCTATGGTTTTTCCAGTAGCAATGTATGGAAGTGAGAGCTGGACCATAAAGAAGGCTGACTGCCGAAGAATTGATGCTTTTGAATTGTGGTGCTGGAAGAGACTCTTGAGAGTCCCCTGGACTGCAAGGAGATCAAACCTATCCATTCTGAAGGAAATCAACCCTGAGTGCTCACTGGAAGGACAGATCCTGAAGCTGATGCTCCAATACCTTGGCCATCTCATGAGAAGAGAAGACTCCCTGGAAAAGACGCTGATGTTGGGAAAGTGAGAAGGCAAGAGGTAAAGGGGACAACAGAGGACGAGATGGTTGGACAGTGTCACCGAAGCTACCAAGATGAATTTGACCAAACTCTAGGAGGCAGTGGAAAACAGGAGGGCCTGCCGTGCTCTGGTCCATGGGGTCATGAAGAGTCGGACACGACTTAATGACTAAACAACAACAAAACCAAAATCAGCAGCACCCACCAACCCTAAGTGCTGAACACTCACATCAACGCTACCAAAAATTACATTTAGACACTAAAACAATGTGCATGGGAAATGAACACCTTGCTTTAGAGTAGAATCCTGCTTGTAAGAAGTTTTGAGAAGAGCAGTTGTATTCTGAAACAAGATGCTCGTGCCCTGAGCACATTGTTTTGGTGTCTAAATGTTATGTTGTTTTTTAAAATCATGGCAGGACAAATATTGTGTATCACCACTGGGTGTGTATATATAGGGGTTTGCAGTTTCTTCACATAGTCAAATTGTGTTAGCAAAAGAACATGGAGAATCAGCAGAGTAACCTCTGGTCCAGGTGGTTAAATGAATCACGCACACACAAGCAGCTTCTCCAGCACGAGACATGTAATTACAAGCTATATACAGGTACAGACCGGCAGCATAACAGCATGACACTCATCAGGAAGAAAAAGAATACATCTGCTGTACATATATATATACGTATTCACAACTATCTGTGTCTAATCATATTTGATATTGCATCATACATGAGTCAGCACTTTATAAGTCATCATGACTCAGCATTACAGCACACCTGTTCAGTATGGCTGCTCATAAGACACTTTGTACTGCTCAGGCCTGTAAATTTTACCTTGACAAATTGTGTTGCTAAATATGGTCTTGTCATTCAGAGTACAAATACGTAGGCTTCACAAATATGTGTTGCTTTTTTAATATGTATGTACTTCTAATTGAATCCATTCTTTGTATTTCTGCTCCATTACCAACTAAAGAAGTAATTTTTGACTCTCACTGAAAGGTTATGGCCGACTCTTCATCTTGATCCACTGAATGCTAAGGATGTCAAATCTCTCATTAATAAAGAATGCAGCTGTGCAGACCTGAAGCTAACTAATGAGCAGGTATTGCTGTTTTATATCCGTGTATAATCTAGAGGTTATTAAATTGAGTCACAGCAAGACACCCGAAGTTAAAAAAAAGCACAACTCTGCTATATCTGTAACTGTTCTCTCTATATATATTTTTAAAAGATTCTATTAAATTCAAACAGAGATAACCAGTAATCAAACTAAGCTGAGAAGTTTGGTCACCCATTACAACTTTAACATACATATTTATGTATAAATCACTATATTTTGGGTATACTGCTTTTCATCCATATTTGTAAGTTTTCTCTTAATTAAGCAAAGTTGTGGTATGTTGGAAAAATGATGAATCAATAAGGCTAACATGCTCTTAAGGAATCTGCTTCATCATACATAAAATTCTGTTGGAGTTAACAGGTCATTTTATACTTACCTGTGTGCCTTCCAATTGATTTCAAAGTGACTTGTCTTGTTCCTCTTTCCTCTGTCTTGCACTTGGAAAGCTTGGCTTCCAAATGCTGGGTGGATGAGTGAGAAGAAAGAATTGTGCTTTCCCAAAAGTCTGTTAGCCACATTTAGTTGTCAGTATTAAGAAACCTCTTTATCAAAAGTAGCTAAATTAAGGCATTACCTCAAGGAAAAGCCAGTCAAATATGGTTTTGTATGTTAGGATTTGCAACCTATGGTTTATGATAAGGCAAGAAACAAAATCAGAAACTGTAGTTCCAACTAGGTTTATAGACCATGGTGTGTGCTGACTGTGGTCAGTGTATTTTCTGAACTGGCAACCCATAGTTTATTAATAATTATGTGCCATCAAGTAAAATTCTGACATAGCAACTCTTTCCAGGGTTTTCCAGGTAGAGAATACTCAGAAGTAGTTTGCCATTCCCTTCTTCTCTGGTCATTCTGGGATTATGCAGCTTGCCCAAGGCCACACAAGTTGACTCTACTCACAGGAGGCAGATTGGGAAATAATTGGAATTGCCAACTTCTGGCTCTGCAACCAGATACTGTACCACTCTGAGCTATCCAGCCAACTATCCATAATTCATTACTTATTATTAATTAAAGCATTTGTTTATAATCTTTCAACCTTGCAGTGGACTAAAATTGTTAAATGAAGATTTAAAGACATTATCAAAATGGACAAACTTTATTTAAAGGCCAGCTTTAAAAAGACGCTGTCCTAGAAATTAAAGGCCCTGCAGAATAATACAGCTTTAGCTTCCTGATGGACCCTGCTGGGAACTTCCAGCAAGCACTGGGCCAACTTCCTTTTCTGATATGTGGCTAGACTAGAGCTCAGCCTTTCCTAGGCCATGAAGTTTCCAGCCCAGTGTTTCTGCAGGGAGCACATTTTAGGTATGGGTCTGGCAGGGGGAACTCCCAGAACAGAGAATTCTGGGATTTGGAATCCAAAGACGCTTCCACAAATGGCACACGCATAGAGGCAAGTTGACATCATGACTTCCAGAATTATGGTAGAAGATGCAGAAGTATGCTCCCATGGACCTCCTCTTTCAAAATTCTAATTGTTTAGAGGTTGCGTTTCCTTCACATTGCAAGGTATGCCGGTGATAATGGGTTCCTATGGGATTTCCCCCCATTTTTGTGGCTGTATGCTTTTGTATAGTTTTCAATTTTGCATTAAAATAAATTAATTTCACACTTATGTATGTGTGTTCTCACTTCCAGGAGAAGAAGTTTGAGAAACTCTGCCATTCAGCTGCAACTTGTAATGCTCTTTATGTCACTCTTTTGGGCAGAATGGTGGCTGGGTATGTCGAATAAATGATGTAATGTTTCACATGTGTTCTGTTAACAAATGAATGATTATGGATTAACAACATAAAATTCTGAGGAAATGGTGCCAGTTGAAATTTTGCCATTGCTTTAAATGGGATCTTGAATTCACAGTGATCTGATCTTCATATAATCCTGCACCATGGTTTAGCACTGTGTCGGCACATCTTGGGGTTGCATCCCCCTTTCCTTTGTCTTGGTAGTGTGGAGCAGATTGGAAGCTCTCCATCCCACTGCATAGGGGGAACACTGAGGTGGACAATTCATGATTTTTCAGAGGTTGTTAGATTGCAGCTCCCATCAGTCCTACCAAGTATAGCTCATGGCGAGAGATGATCGGGTGTTGCCGTTCAAAGTTGCCCAAGTCAGGTTTTTAAATTTTGGTTTGTTGACAGAAGTCAGGATTACATCATAGTTCATCATCACATTATATATAGAGAGAGATATAGATATAGATAGCTCATCATCACATTATATATATACATAGAGAGAGATATATGGATATAGATAGAGATAGAGATATATAGATATATATAGATATGTGTATGTGTGTGTGTGTGTGTGTGTATACACACAGAGAGACACACACACACATCTGTTTTTAAAATTCCGTATAGCTAACAAATCTACATCAATCAAAAAATCTAAATAAAATTTAAAGACTAAACAAACCAAGGTTCTTAGGTGTAACAACAAACAAATTAGCTTAAATCAGAAAATAGATGCTTCTTTCTGATTTCTTCCCCATGGTGTGCATAGATGGAGTGGCAGCACAGAGCATGTGAACCTGAAATTTGCTTCTGTTTTTCAGAGAGGATTAGCCATTATTTCTGAAATGAACCATTGAGTATATGAAAACTGATGTGAAAACTTGTATTTTGGCATTTGCTGTCCAAGAAATAACATCTCCAAGCCCTCACGGGAGACAGTGATACCAGTACAATCCTCTGGGTTATGACCTGGTGCTGGCTTAGCAGTTGTAACTCTCATCAAGTATTAGCAACAATTCCTATTGGGATCATCTTGTAAAACACAATGCACAAAAATTTATGAACTAAACTAGCTTTTATTATGGTTAAACGGGCTCAAATGCTTGGAATACAATGAATATGTACAAATGTTTCTGTTACTTCAAGGCATTTTGAGGGTAGCTGCTTGAGAGATTTTTTTAATTAATTAATTAATTAATTAATTTATTTATTTATTTATTTATTTATATCCTGCCTATCTGGTCTCTTGACCACTCTAGGCAGCAATTTGGATTATTATTTTGTAGGATTTTATTTACCCTTTTTATTTGATCTGCTGCCCAGATGTTAAGACCAAATGGGTTCTTCAGGACAGATGTATTTCATAGTTTCTCTTATCGCAGGCCACACATATCTTCTTTCCTTTTCCTTTCCTGTTTCTCGCTTTCCCTTTTCTAGCAAATATCAGTGGATATTTTCATGTGTTGAAATTTGTGCTGGAATTATACATGTGCATAATAATTGCTAAGGTTTACAGTGATGGGCAATTTCCATGTTAATTTAGCTTTGGATGAAATTTCAAACTTACATTGCGTTTCCTTTTAACCTTCTGTATTTCTCTGTCTCCGTTCTTCTCCAGTGGCAGAACGACAGAAAATATTGATGCAATCCTCCAAAAGTGCTTCCAGTGCCAAGATACAGTGTCCCTGTACAAGTTTGTTCTGAAATCAGCTGAAGAATCCTTGAGGAGTGAGAGAGACAAAGGCCTCATGAAAGAGGTGAGCACGCAAATCTGATGGCGTTTTTTTTTCTTTCAGATACATGTGTAATTTCATAGACAGGATTTTTCTTTAGCACATTGGAAACAACAAGGTGATGCTGTGCTCATAAGCTCATGGAATCAAATCCAGAAGCATGTGTTGAGTCTGATGTAGCAGATGTATGCTGAGATCCTCTCCCCCCCCCCCATGGCAGGTGTCAATACAGTTCTCCTAAAACAAAAACAAAATAGAAATGCTGTGGTACCTTTGTGTACTTCAGTCTAAGGTTCCATGGCTTGCAATCCTCTTCGTCAGACACAAGAAGTCCGGTGGACCTTTGTCTTGCTCAGAGTGCAGTATTTACCAGGCCTTGCAGACAGCTCTTGTCAGCATCCAGCATGGCTTTCCAAAGTTCCCACCTGGCCCCATATAAGACCTCATTGTGAAGGATCTTTCCTCAGAGATAGTTCTTTTGGTAGCTGTCAGTTGCTTGTACTGTTACTACTGATAGAGAATATCCAGCCACAGTGCAATATTCATCTGGCATGGGGAACCTGTGGTCCTCTGGATGTTCTGCCAACTCTAAAAAGCATGCCAAAATAGCCAAGGAAGAGGGAGTTGTGGTCCTACAACATCTGAGAAGTAGCAGATTCCTTGCCTCTGCTTTATCTAAAGGTAGGATTGGGCAGGTCATGATGATACCTTAAAGAGATAATAGTACTTCATACCTCTGCAGTTGTCCAGTTTTCCTGTCTCCCCCTCTATATCCCACCAAACCCTAGATACTACCGGGAGCAGTATCCAAGCAGGTGATGACAATGAAAATATTAAATTAGGTTGTATGTTTCTTTTTAAGATTCTCTGTCTGATTAGCGTTAGCCACAATGGGATCAGCGAATCAGAACTGATGGAACTCTGCCCTGGACTGTCTTGGGAACTGCTGTCTTCCTTAGTTTACACTTTGCACAAGATGTGCTTTCTGACATACGGCTGTGGCCTGTTAAAGTTTCAGCACCTCCAGGTAAAGTTCTTTGATTTGCTGTTATGTCATCTGCCAGCTTCTACTCATGTTTTTCAGTAGTTTGCATGTTTGTAAATAATGGAGTATAAAGGAGATTAATACATGCAGTATCTTTTCTTTTTTAGCATTTTCTACAAAATCTTTTAAGATGCCTATAACTTCTTATGTCTTCTGTTTGTCTCTCTCACTCACCTATGGGGAGGGGGGCGCAATTAGGAGGCATCTAGTTCTCCTTGTAATGAATTTTACAAACTTTTGGCATGTATATATTGTTTGTGCTGTTCGATGTGCTTTATTTTACTTGTTGCTTCCTGTAGTTTTAGTTGGAGACTGATACTTCATGACAAATGATTGGGAGAAGTCAGTCTAACTAATGCCACCAATGTCTTTCCTCCCCCAGGCTTGGGAAACAGTGAAGCTGGAGTACATGGGAGGTGGTCAGAATATTTCTGAGCTTTTCAGAGAAAAGCTGATAGACTATTTCACTATGCAACTAAAGTAAGCCTTCAAAAGTATGAGATAAAATTAAAAATAATGTAACTACTTTTAATAGTAACTCAATAATAGCTTACCGATACTTATATAAGGTAGTGCCTGAGGGACTGAACTATACACTAGAGAATCACTTTTTTAATTTGCAGGTCTGCCATGAATTCACTATAAGGTCTTAGCCGTTATTTCAGGTCCATTATCTGTTACATACATTTGAACTTCTGGTAAAATTCCTTTTGATACACAGTTAAAGTAGAGAAACTCACAGAGGAGAATAGCTCCACATTTTCCAGATAGTCCACCCCTTTCTCATTAACTGGTCTCAATAACTCACTCTGAGACATCTGTAAAAGAAAGAATAAAAACATTCAACTACTTACAGTTGTGAACAGATCAAGAAAAAACAAAACAACTGGCTTCCAACAGAGTAAAGAGAGGGAAAGGGAAGCACTCAGCAGAGAGACAGGGATCTTTTTAAACTCCGAGATGGGAAGAAATGATTGTCTAATGCTGGATAGATTTACAGTCGCCCCAGCTCAGAAGGGCCTCTCCCAGTCAAACCACAGGCAGCATGTGAGTTTGTAAAAACTACAGCATTATATTTTATGGCCCACAAGCAAGAATCCTGCCATTGTGTTTCTTCATAGATATAGGACTGCATACTCCCCCCCCTCCAAATATGGCAACAGGAGAAAAACCTTTCAGTGGATGGATTGCTTAGATTCTTCATTTTGTTTCAGAAGGGCCCCTCCCAGTCAAACCACAGGCAGCATGTGAGTTTGTAAAAACTACAGCATTATATTTTATGGCCCACAAGCAAGAATCCTGCCATTGTGTTTCTTCATAGATATAGGACTGCATACTCCCCCCCCTCCAAATATGGCAACAGGAGAAAAACCTTTCAGTGGATGGATTGCTTAGATTCTTCATTTTGTTTCATCTGCTCTTCTGTTTCACCTCATTCTCACAGACTCTTTTTAAATAGATATTTTATTGAATTTTATTATTGTTTTAAGCCACCTGTGGAAATGCAAGATATATTTGTAAATTTAAAAGCCAATATGCAAGTGCAGTATCATTGCTTTAGCTGTAAAACAGATTATTTTACTTCTTTTTCCCTGCATTTTGTGGCCTCAACCGGCTGTCCGTGGTTCCCCCTCAGTGCAGAGAGAGTCACTTGGAGGAGTGCCGATGAACTACCTTGGTTGTTCCAGCAGCAGGGCGACAAACAAAAGCTACACAAGTGCCTGCTGAACCTCTTTGTGTCCCAGAACCTTTATAAAAGGTAGGGGGGAAACAGCACTTGGGGTGTGTTTTTGCTTGCTCAGGATTGGTTTCTATGTAAGCACAAAGTCCTTGAATGAAACAAATGTTGTAATGCAGAGCCAAATAGTAACAACACAGATATCTAGGAATTAATTCAGCCCAAGATGAGCAGCAGGAGAGACTTGGGTTGGCTTCTTGCAGCTTAAGTGCTGAGCCTTATTTGCTTTGAATTCTAGGTCATGCACAGGATTATTTTATCTGAGGGTTAAAAAAAAGTCTGTTAGGGCCTCTGCCAAGGTCAGAGAGCAGGAAATCAAAGGACTCCTTGTGCTGTATTTTGGAATGAGTCTTTGAGTTGCCTGTGGGAGGAGGGCTCATCTGAAAATGGTGCTGTGCCCAACAAGAAATGCGAAATAGTTTTACAGTGGTGCCTTGAATTACAACCATAATCCATTCTGGAATGATGGTCATAAGTCGAAGCAGCATTTCCCATTGAAATGCACTGGAATGTGATTAATTCATTCTGGCCAAAGAGAAAAATCACACACACAAAAAAAATGACTGCAAGACTCATTGGAAACACGATAAATCCCTTCCGGCCGAAGGGGTTGGGGGGAAGAAAAGCAAGGGAAGCATGCAGGACCCATTGCAAAAGCACAGAAAACAAATGGAGCAGATTGGAAATGCACAGAGAATGAAGGAACAAGGTCGGAAATGCACAGAAATCAAAGGGAGCAGATCAGAAATGCAAAGAAAACAAAGCAAAAAGCAACGGAAGCATGCAAGACACATAGAAAATGGGGAAAATCCCCCCAAAAGCAACCAAACCCCCAAGACGCATTGGAATTGGGGGGAACAAACAAACAAACCCCCCAAGACCCATCACAGCACAGAAACATAACCTCCCCCAGCCGAAAACCATGCTTCAAAAATACCAAGAACAGTTTTAAAAAAGCATAAAGCAGCATCATACCTTAGCAGGCAGTCTCCTCAGATCGCACACTCTCTAACTGCTGGGGTGAAAGAGCTACAAAGAAGCAGCTTCTTTCGCCACCTATAGTTAGTAATTTGAAATTCCCGTCTTTTTTTCCCCTGCCTTTTTCTGTTCATAAGTGGAAGCTCTCTCACAAGTAGAAGCAAAATTTTGCGACTGGGGCTGTTCGTAAGTCAAATTGGTCGTAAATAGGGACGGTTGTAAGTCGAGGCACCACTGTATGCCTTTTTCTTAACTTGCTTAGGATTGACTGAGTGGACAATGCCATTGTCTCAACTGTTGTGAGTTGGGAGAATTATGTTATGGTTTGGCTGTCGGGGTTGAGCTTAATGATAAATCTATGTTTTTGGAATAGGTGCTCTCTCTCAAGTGATGAAAGATGTATGGCATAGCACACAGTTCTCTTCACCTGATTACTGAGGCATCTATCTCTGAATCATTCCCCTTGTGGGAGACAAAACCAGTTAATAGTAGGAAATGCACATTCCTCCTAATGTCAGAATTGGCCTTTAGACTTGTACTGGTTGAAGTCCTCACTTAGCTATAAAGTTTACTGGCCATTCCTGGGCCAATTACCAGATCCCCGTCTAACTTCACAGAGTTGTTCAGGAGTAAACTTGGAGCATTTATGGGGGACAGCGCCTTGGACATAACTTGAAAGGAAGCACTCAGCTGAGTCAGTGCAATCAATGGCTTAGAAGACTAGGGGATAGCTTCTGCCCATGACTTTGGCCCACCAAGAGGGGCCAATCTTTTCTTGTATGTTTATGATTCTGAATCATTACATGATTTCAGGACTGGTTGGATAAAAGGGTACATGCCAATCAAAAGAATCCACATTGGTTTATGAAAAGGTTGGTACATACACACCTCAGTGGGGAGGAGAAGTCTTTTGGTTTTGGCAGTGTTTTGTTTTGCTTTTCCTAAATTGGCTCAAAGAAATCTTGTGCTGGAGACCAGGTGGATGCTTTATCTCATCATGTTCCTGGGAGCTGGATTTTTTTCAGACTTGTCCCCCTAACAAGCTGTTTTGTAGAGCCAGCCTGCTCCGTGACAAGCATAGAAAGCCAGCAAGCTTGTGAAGGAGATACAGATTGCTCCTTCCTCTGCTGAACTGCTTGACAACCTGTCAAGAAATCAGTAGTCTGCATTTCATGCTGGCTTCAAAAGAGGATCCAAACCAGTGGGAATACAAAGTATGAAAAACAATGTGCAGGTCGTTTGTCGTGTTTGGAAATGTATTTATAATATTTCAGTAATGCTCAGTTTAAAAACGTCTTGCAACAGGTAAGCTATTCTAGCCGTTCTGCCACTTCTGTGGTGTGTAGGAGTTACATGGGAGTCTCCTGACTCCGGTTGGAAACCAGTTAAAAATTGGATTCATGCAAGTTCATCAGCATGTGTTTCAGTGGCAAACTGCTGCTAGTTAAGAAGTTGTCATTTGCACTTGGTGCCATGTGCTAAATCAAACAACAGGTGTGCAATACCAAATGCAGAAAGAGACTTCATGATTACTGTGTTTCCCCGAAAATAAAGAAAGGATTTTATATTAATTTTTGCTCCAAAAATGCATTAAGGCTTATTTTCAGGGAATGTTTTATTTTTTTTTCATGTACAACAATCTACATTTATTCAAATACAGTCATGTCATCTTCTTCTGGTTGCTGCACAAGGGTGGAGGGCGGGGTTTCACTTAACTGGGGCTTATTTTCGGGATAAGGCTTATATTACGAGCATCCTGAAAAATACTAGGGCTTTTTATCAGATTAGGTCTTTATTTTCAAGGAAACAGGATAGTGGCAATTATTCCCTGCGATTTATGCCAGAAGACTTTCAACGGTGGGTGTAAGTACTAGGATTTTGGCCTTTGTATTCCAGGCGCTTTATAGAATGTGCGTGTGTGGAGGTGGAAGTGCTATTTGTTTCTTGGAATTTTTGCACACAGGGGCCACTTTGCAGAACTGCTGAGCTACTGGCAGCTTCTTGGCAAAGATAAGAGTTCCATGGCAGCGGAATATTTTTGCTCTTTGAAGCTCTATGAGACAAGTTGTGAGGGTGAAGAAAGCATGATATCTCTGGCTGACCTCTATGAGACACTGGGGCGATTCGTTAAAGACCTAGGCCTTCTTAGTCAGGTGAGTGCTTCTGCAGGACACACGGCATATTACAGATCCCTGTTCTTTGCCATACTGTAGGCATGGCTTCTTGTGCCAAATCAAAATTCGGGGGGGGGGGATAATTTCCACTGTAGACACTGTAATAGACCCCAAAGTTTCTTATTTTCAAGGTTGTGGAGGTTAGTTTGGAAGCATGAGTGTGGTATTTTAAAAAGTATAACAGTATTTGTAGATTAATTCTAGTTGTTAGTTCCACTTAGATGAGAACTAATGCATCAGTTGTTTAGATTATGTCTTTGTATAATCAGGGCCTGTATGCTGCCCCATAACATAATTGGGTCCCTTGTTGGGAGAAATGCGCCATATAAATAAATCTAATCATTATCATCATAGCCTGCAAAAAGGATATAAAAGAATATAATCCCAAAATAATAGCCATAGAATCAAAATGGCCATGAATATTGCATTGTTTTCAATGGAGTGTCTCAGACTTATATGAGTTATTTAATAGGTTTGGGTAAAGCTGTTGTCATACTCAGTACAGAGTAATCTAATGGTTTATGTAACTAGAAAGAGAGTAATTTCTTTCAGAGTCATAGGCAGAGGTTTTCCCCAATTTTGCTACCTGAGATTTTGTAATGGAAACTTCTCCCTCCTCATCCCCCATTGTAAAAAATCTCTATAGGCAATTGCTCCTTTGCAACGCTCCTTGGAAATTCGAGAGACTGCCCTGGATCCAGATCATCCCAGAGTAGCCCAGTCGCTTCATCAGTTAGCAGGTGTTTATGTGCAGTGGAAGAAGTTTGGCAATGCAGAGCAATTGTATAAGCAAGCTCTTGAAATCTGTGAAAGTGCTTATGGGGCCGAACATCTCCGGATTGCTCGTGAACTGGATGCTCTCGCAACATTGTACCAGAAGCAGAACAAGTAAGAAGGAAGGGCTCTCTCCACCTCCTGGCTCTGTGTGTTTTGTTTTTTAAACCAAGGCTGATGCTTTAGAGTGGTGGTGGAATTTCATGGCTGAAGGATATACGTGGCAGAGCAAATTGAGTTTGGGAAATTTGGAGGGCAGATAGATTTAGGAAGAAGGCAGCTGAAGTTTTTTTCTATGGTCTAAGTGGGCTGATATAGGAATAACACTTGGTAACTGCTAGTATTAAAAATTGTTTCAAGTGTATCCTTGAGTTTCAAGAAAATCAAAGAGAAGATAAGAGATTGCTGTGAAGCAAAGGATGCTGTTAACATTGATAGGAGCTACTTCACCTGCACCATTCATTTTGTAGCTCAGGGCACAAGAGCTGTTATAAAAGAAACATACTAGGGAACTTTTTTCAATGGATTTCATTTATGTTACTACCGACCCAAAGTTATGCTCCCAGTAAAAGCATACGTGAACTGATATTGCACCTGTATGTCACAGTACTTAAGAAGCCACATTTAAATTAAAATCTTAAAAAACCCAAACTCTACCACTAACAAGGTGGAATAGAAAGAGTATATTGAATCTTTTGTTGACCTCTTGTCTCTGTGTGTGATTGATTGAATCTGTTCCAATTGTTTTAGATATGAGCAAGCTGAGCAGTTGAGGAAGAAGTCCTTCAGAATTCAACAAAAATCTGCCAGACGAAAAGGCAGCCTGGTAAAGACGTATTATTTTGTTTTGCGATTCTTTTAGTTTTAAGAGTATTTTCACAAGAAATGGCAATAGCTGTTAATTTGAGATCTGTCACTTTCAGTGAAGGAAAAATAGAAGAAGGTTGTCAAAATGAATGGGCATTCTAATAATTGTAGATTAATTCTTTGTATAGATTTGATAATTGCAGTAAGTTGATTTAAATGCCACTTTATAAAAATCCTTGATGAGATTTGGCAAAGTATGGCTTGGAGGCCCCCAAGGTTGGTTTGGTGTCTCCCTCTCTGGATTCCTACAGCCTGAAAATCTCTCCAGAAAAAAAAACAGTTGGCAGAACCTGAAAACCACTCACACAGTCACCATTGTCTGTGCAGTTTTCCACAGTAGGATTTTGGCCTAATTGTGTTACAGTCCACAATATGAATTAAGGGAGGAACAGCTGCTATCAGTACAGCACATGCTTTGGTTATAGAAAGTTCCACCCTGAGTCCCACTCATACTTGTTCCTGGGAGATGGTAGGAGTTGTAAACCAAAAGGATACCTCTGTAAAGTTTTGTAGAAAGTATAGGTTGGCCTCCCACAAGTGGCTTCACCTTTGTCAGCCTTTATGCACTGAATGTGATTTTTTAAAGTCATTGATCTTCAACATGAGAAGGTAAAGACAGTAGGTTTCTCATTGTTCTTCTTTAGTATGGGTTTGCTCTTCTTCGCCAACGAGCCCTGCAGCTGGAAGAGATGACTTTGGGCAAAGATACATCTGATAATGCACGAACACTGAATGAGCTTGGAGTGCTCTACTACCTTCAGAATAACCTTGAGTAAGTGATGGTTCTGCAGTTGCCTACACAGAATCAAGGGACAGAAAGGAATGGGGCCAAATCTGGCCTTTACAGCTTCTCCAGATGGCATGCCCTTTTCCTCATAACACCATAATTTTGTGGTTCATGTGCATGGCATCTTCTGCTCATTGTGACATGCATCATGTGAACGAGCCAGGTGGGGTAGTCATTGAAAGGTTGAATCAGGTCTGCGGGGATCCAGGTTCCTGCCTCAGTCATGAAGCTCGATGGATCAAGTATTGGCAAGGCAAGCTAAACTCTTGAGGAGCCATGCATAAGAAACACATGTGCTATGGTAATCATTTAAATTCCACTTGTTGATGAACTGTCATTTCCACCAGCTTAGTCAATTATTTATTTATTTATTTATTTTGTTTTGTTTTATTTATATCCCACCCATCTAGACTGAAGTCTACTCTGAGCGGCTAACAGCAAATTATGAGGGATCAGAGCTTGGAAAAGTTACTTTTTTGAATTGCCGTTCCCAAAAAAACTCTTTAAAAATTAGTCCAACCAAGTATTTTTTCCCTCAGGCTCTTCATAAAAACGGTGTTCCCTAGTCACGCTGGCCATGTGACAACGGAAACTGTCTTCAGACAAGCGCTGGCTCTATGGCTTGAAAACAGGATGAGCACCGCCCCCTAGAGTCGGACACGACTGGACTAAGAATGTTAAGGGGAACCTTTACCTTTACCTTTATAGAATAATAAAACCTGGCTGGGGAGTTCTGGGACCTGTACTACAAAAAAGTAATTTCCAAGTTCTGCTCAAGGTAACAGGAGTTGCAGTCCAATTACATCTGGAAACCTACATGTTTCCAGTGCCTAAACAAGAGTACAATATGACCTAACCATCATGTATATTGAGCGATGCAGGGTTTTTTTGGGGGGTGCGGGGGAAGTGACTGATTTCCTTGCACGATTGAGCTTCTCACTTACCACATCAGAAGAATGCTTTCTTTGAAAGAGATGTGCCACAACTGCAGGTGCGAGTTGCACTTTTAAACAGCTGTGGCAATATGCACAGATACATATCACTGCGTCAACTTGTTTCTAGGACAGCAGAGCTTTTCCTGAAACGCTCCCTGGAAATGAGAGAACGGGTTCTTGGGCCTGATCACCCGGATTGCGCCCAGTCCTTGAATAATCTTGCAGCTCTAAACAATGAGAAGAAAAACTACGACAAGGCAGAGGAGCTATACGAGAGGGCATTGAACATTAGGAGGAGAGCATTAGCACCAGATCACCCTTCTCTAGCTTACACTGTGAAACACCTTGCCGTGCTCTACAAGAAATTGGTAAGAAACTGTTCAATACAGGTGGGAATTTTTATTTATTGCTTTACGGGTCAGGTGTCTGATCTAGCACAACACTTTTGTCAACTGTCACTGGCAGTGTGCTTCTAAAGTGGTAATTTAGATCATGGTGTAAATATGATGGAGAATGCAAATCTCTGTTTCCAGAGCAAATAATGGCAAGGGCCAAACTGAAACTTTGCCAGCACGTGGCAGTCTGGCACTGTGGAATCTGTGGGATGAAAAGGAGACATGTTGTCAGGATTGCATGTGCTCTGTGCCATTGAAGGACCTGGTAGTCATTGTCTTACATTTCTGTGTCAATAATTGTCAAATTGCAGACATGTGCCAATCCACTACAAAGTCTTACGTTACTATATAATTTTAATTTGTTCTATAACAAAGTTTCTCTAGGCACATTACAAAGAGCTAATGGAATATAGTACAAAGAATTAAAATGCAGGATGGTGTCTTTGTAATCACAACACAGCACATATTTGTTCCATATGACATCATTCAAAATAGAGGGCTAAATCTAGTGTTCTTTACAGCCAGAGCAGACCTACTGAAATCAATGGAACTTACATTACTAGTAACTAATGATTTCCATTTATTTCAAAGTGTCTACTCTATTTAGGCCTAATGTGAGTTTTAGCTCCATGGATCAGTTTTTGACATTCCAGATGGTGGAAACAGAATAAATACACCAAATATGTAAAAATGTATTTCATTTAAATACATAAGACAAGTTGCAGAATTCAGCTTTCCTTGATTCAGAATACTTGTAAAGTTCAACTGTGTATCTGTGCCACTGCAGGCTGAGCTTTCTATATTGCTAAAATGAAACAGACCTGTACAAAAGTTTGGAGCAGTTGCATGTTTGTTTTTTCCCCTAGGGGAAGCACGATAAGGCTGTACCTTTGTATGAATTGGCCGTTGAAATCAGGCAGAAATCTTTTGGTCCAAAGCATCCTAGTGTGGCTACTGCTTTGGTCAACTTGGCAGTTTTGTACTGTCAAATGGTAAGTTTCCTTCCTTGCACAAGGTATGAGAGTTGTTAGATGAATGGTGTGCATGATCAACACCCTGTAGCTCAGGGTAGAGGGACCTACCTGAAAACAGATGCACTTGTTCCATCTCCATGACAAGTATAAAACATTGGCTAAGATCTAAACTTGTTCCTAAAATAGATTCACTGAAATCAGTGGAACAAGTTCATTATGACCAACTTAATTATGGTCGGTCTGTTGGACATTATGTCTGGATTCACTGCATTGACTGGAATGGAGACAAATGCTTCCTATGTTGAAAAGAACTGAAAGGCGGTATAGAGATATGGCATGGTACCAACAAGGCACTGTTGGGAGAGTAGCCTCTACCCATCAGCACTAGCAAATTCCTGTAATTTTAATGGAAGCTCACAATTACGGCCCAACTGATCTTTGCTTACTAAATAGTTGGGCAGTTTTTTAATGTCCACATGCTTTTCGTCAGTCCTAATCAAAACAGCCAATAGTGAGGGATAATGAGTGTCAGACAAAATCTGGAGGACATGTTGCGTAGTGCTTGCCACTAGCCCAACCCATTTGCCCGTGAGTGTCAGACAAAATTTGGAGGACATGTTGCCCAGCTCATTGATCAGCCGCTTGGTGCTTGCCACTAGCCCAACCCATTTGCCCCTCTTTTGCCTTGTTAGAGAGGTTGTTGTGTGCTGTCAACTCACTTCTGATCTATGGCAGTGCTGATAGAATTTCCAAGGTACGTGAGATATTTCAGTTTTATCTTTGCTGCCTTCCAGTGAGTTTCTGTGGCCAAGCAGGGACATGAACTCAGGTCTCCTGAGTCCTAATCCGACATTCTCTCCACTACACTACACGGGCTCCTATTTGCTCAAATTTCTGTCATGCAGAGAGAGTTGGTGGAAAAAAAGGGATTCTACCCCTGACTCCACTACACTACACAGGCTCCCATTTGCTCAAACTTCTGTCATGCAGAGAGAGTTTGGTGGAAAAAAAGGGATTCTACCCCTGACACACACACTCTCATATTGAAGATGGAATTAAGTGGGGGGAAAAATCTGGATTCTCACCTCACTTCTTACACTTTTCTGGAACCCTTAGAGCTTAGACTCAGGCGCACCTGGTATGGGCAGATATGGATGCAAGCTTACTCCTCTTGTTCTGTTGTTGCAGTAATAGGTGAGACAGAAGCCTTGCTTCACTTTTTTGGCCTCGCTTTTTTTGATAATTGCCCAGGATATCCTAAACCACAATAGTGCACGAGAACGAGAATCTAGGTGCCTCCTTTTTCCTATTAATCTTCCATGTGGTTCCTCTTTTGTTTTGGTGGAATGGTGTGGGGAGACATCCTGGCGGATTGCGCCTCATTGGGTCACAACAGAGCATCCTCCTGCTCACTCACAGTTCTTTCAGCTTGTGAAATGTGGAATGCTGACAAAGTTCAAAGCAGAGATGGGTTGAGATATTTGCATTATTTTCTTATCAATAAATCCCATTTTGCAAAGTCCAGATTTAGACCAGTTCATGAGTACAGTTCATCTCTTTTTCGGAATTTCAAATGACACACAGCTTTTAATATGTAACAGGTAGCTAAGTCTGCATAAAGTAAGGTTGGGACTCCCAAACCAGATTGCCATGGACGCACATTAAGAGAAGTTTACCAGTAAAACTTTACAATTAGTGTTACTGCTAACAGTAACAACAGAGGCGGTATGGGGAGCGGCATGCACTAATGACTGGGGAAGGAGAGAGTAGCAGCTCCCCTTGTGTTGTGCTCCTGATTGGAGGAGGCCCCTGCACTTCCTTTTGCATCAAAGAAAAGCACAGGTGTTGTTGGATGCTATCTGTTGAAGTCATCTTCTCAGAGGTGAGCCCCAATGAGTTCAGTAGTTTGTGTTCCTGGGTCAGTAGGCTAGGGTTGCAGTCTTAACAGGTCATGCATTGTACGTACTTGTGGCCTCCACTGATAACCTTATTACTTTAGAGATGTTGCAACAGCAGTTTCCATCTTTCAGCTTTGCAATTTTTACTCTCAAAATATGGGAATCACTACAGTTTGCTTTTTAAAGCTCAGACTTTTAAGGTTTTCAATAGATTTTGAAAATAAAATTTCCAAGACAATGACATTCATATTTTTGCAATGAGTTTTAACAGCATTGTAATGTTATTTTTAAAAATGCATTTGTTACTTTTGCATTCCACGTCAAGAAAAAACACTCCGAAGCCTTGCCTCTTTATGAACGTGCACTGAAGATTTATGAAGACAGCTTTGGGCGCATGCATCCTCGTGTAGGAGAGACATTAAAAAATTTGGCAGTGCTGAGGTAAGTTTTATCCAGTTAATTTAAACTGAATTGTTTAAGGCATTGTTTACCTAATCCAAGCACTATGTAAGCTTTAACAAACTTTAATGCTGTCATGTTAATTTAAGCAGAGGGAGCAGATTAGATCACACAAGTATTATGCCTATGAATCAGCAACCTCCAGTAAAGTAAATAGGGGATGCTTTATATGCAGCAGAACCTATATTTTTATACCAGATTTCATAAACATATCATTGAGTGCAGGTCCACTTTGCACTAAAGCTTGTGGCAAAGCTTCAGGTTTTTTAAAATGAGATTAACTGGTTTAACAACATATTTCATATATTTAGCCATTGAGGGAAATCCATGGAAAATGTATATATAATATAAATTAACAAGACTGGAAACTCTGTCTTCCTTTCAGATTAACTGCAGTTTTAGAACATTTAGCAGAATGACATGAAGTATGATTTTTGTAGACAAAGGATTAGCGATTGCATAAGTTGGTGTGGTCTTTCAGGAGGTGAAGGTCATTTTTAAAGTTAGTAATCCAAATAGCTGAAGAAGATATTACAAATTATAATGAATTAAGATGTTGAGGATATGATGATTGAAGTATAATAATGAAATCAAGGGGCAATCGGTTCTGAATAGCTAAAGACCATGGCAGAAAAATTCATGTACTGAGGTGGAAATTTTTTTGTGTCACTTCACACTGCAGGGGGCAACTCATATGACTGAATATTCTTGAAATTTAAAAAAGAGGTTCTTTGCATTGAGAAAACTACAGAGAGACTTACCGTATCACTGAAATTTGGCTAAGAACTAAATTCTGTAGATGCAGCTTAAGAAACATCTTTATCCTGCTGATCGGCTCTTCATACTTATATGATCCTGTTAAAAAAAGGACAGGAAAAGAGAGGGTAAGCCTGGACATGAACTGCCAGCAGTCTCCAGGCCATCCCGTATCTTCTCTTGACTCACCCCTCCGGAGGTTGCGCCCTTAATCTCTAGGAGTTCCTTGTTGCCGTGACCCCCTTCCCCTAGCTAATAATATGAATTTTATTTTGAGAGCTATGCCTTAGTAATGGTGCCTGGCCTTGTTTCTCTTACTTTCTTTTCTTTTGGTGTAACTTTCATTTTTTTTCACAAAGCTATGAAGGAGGAGATTTTGAGAAAGCTGCTGAGCTCTATAAGAGAGCCATGGAAATCAAAGAAGCAGAGACTTTGTTGATTGGTGGAAAGGCTACTTCACGTCACTCATCAAGTGGAGACACCCAGAGTTTGAAGAGCACTTTCTCTCCCAATGTCTTTTTGCAACATGCACGAAGGTGACACACAGGACCACATGGAGGCCAGGATCCAGGGGTGTCTTTTCACATTCAACAGTGGTGAAACTGGGACTTTCATACTCTTGCAGTCCTCTGTTGCACCAAGAGCCCATTTACTGGTAATCAGAGCTAAGATCTTGTAAGAAGATACTTCTTATGTCAAAAAAATGAGCCCTGTACTGCAAAAGAGATGGGGGATGTGCTTTAACCTGCATTCAGAACACTAAGTGCTCTCCTCTTAAACCATTTTCAGTATTGCTAAATATTGTATGTATCTTTGCACATGGTAAAAGTAGTTATAGCAACATTCCTATCCTAAATATATTATTATTCAGGAACAGTCACATTAACTGCAACTGCCATTAGATACTTGTTTACATACTTAATAATAATGCCTTAGAATGTTCCTTTCTGAGGTTTTCTTAACATAGACAGTCATGGCCAAAAATATTGACAGCCTTGCAATTCTGTCAGAAAATGCAACCCTTCTCTCAGAAAATTGTTGCAGTTGCAAATGTTTTGGTACTCACATGTTCATTTCTTTGGTTTGCGTTGGAACAACACAAAAAACAGAGAAGTAAAATCTGATACAATCCCACACAGAAACCCAAAAATGCTCTGGCCAGAATTATTGACACTCTGTCTAAATTGTAAGAAATAATTGCTTTTCAAGCATGTGATGCTCCTTTAATTTGTATTTAGACACACCTGTTGCAGTTAAGAGGTGTAGGAAATATAGCAATCACACTTGGAACCAGTTAAGATGGAGAAAAGTTGACTCAACCTTTGTGTTGTGTGTGACACTGAGCATGGAGAAAAGAATGAAGTGTAAAGAGTTGTATGGATTTGAGAGAAAACATTGTGGAAAAACATCGGCAATCTCAAGGCTATAAGTCCATTTCTAGAGATTTTAATGTTTCTATATCCACTGTGCACAATATCATCAAGAGGTTTACAGCCCATGGCACTGTAGCTAACCTCCCTGGAGGTGGGTGGAAGAGCAAAATTACTGGGGCATAAAGGCATAAAAAAGCAAGACTAGAGTATGCCAAAACTTATGTGACAAAACCACAATCCTGGGAGAATGTACTGTGGACAGGTGAGACAAGGCACTGGATGCCTTGACTGTGTGAACGGTATCATGAACTCTGATGATTACCAAAGAATTTTGAGGTGCAACATAGTGGCTAGTATCAGAAAGCTGCGTCTCCACCAGAGGTCATGGGTCTTCCAGCAGGACAATGACCCAAAACACACTTCAAAAAGCACTCAGAAATGGCTACAAACAGCGCTGAAGAGTTCTGAAATGGCCAGCAATGAGTCCAGATCTGAATCCCATATAACACTTGTGGAGAGATCTCAATACAGCAGCTGGGAGAAGGCATCCTTCAAATCTAAAGGCCCTGGAGCAGTTTGCAAAAGAAGAGTGGTCCAAAATTCCAGTAGCGAGGTGTAAGAAACTCATTCATGGTTACAGGAATTGATTGATTCCAGTTATTTTTTCCAAAGGGGGTGCTACCAAATATTAAGGGTGTCAATAATTTTGGCCAGTGCATTTTTGGGTTTCTGTGTGGGATTGTATCATTTGACTTTTCTTCTCTGTGTTTTTTTTTTTGCGTTGTTTCAACGCAGACCAAAGAAATGAACATGTACCAAAACATTTGCAACTGCAACAATTTTCTGAGAGAAGAGTTGTATTTTCTAACAGAATTGCAAGAGCGTCAATATTTTTGGCCATGACTTTATTTATACTTTGGCCCCAGTCCTATTGTTGTTCCAATAAGCTTTGTGTAATTTGTTGATACTTTGGCCGCAGTCCTATTGTTCCAATAAGCTTTGTGTAATTTGTTGCAGCTAATTGGTGAGGTGCAGGACACATCTTAGTTGTGCAGCTGGCATGTGAAGAGACGTGTGATCATGATATGACCCAGCCCCTTGTCAGTTAGTCACAAGTAATTGGCAGGTTGTGCAACTCTTACATGAATACCGATAAAATTCTGGCCATAGTTTCATATTAGTATGCATTTGCACTGTAAGTTAACTATGATATCTTCTTTCAAAGGGAATCTGAAGTATTACAATGAGTGTTAATAAATAATATTCCATAAGCACTTCCCCCATATTGTGTTTGTGTGGAAATTACTTGGTAACCACATGGCTTCTGGGACTCTTTTTCTTCCTTTATTATAGGAAGTAATTGTAAATGAAACTTGTGGTCAAAATAAATTCTAGTAAGAAGTGTTTTTAAACTTAAGAGATAAATGTGATGTTGCACATTCTTTTATCCTCACATAATCAAAGTTAGTAGAATCATAAATTGCACAAGATTTTATTTCAATTACTTTTTACAGTCAAATATAACTCTTTGAACACATTTTGGAGCGTTTAAGAGAAGCATAAAATAAGAATATTAAAGGATGCTGTAAAGATATATTTCCACAAGTTATACGAAACCTGTTGTGACTGTAAAATGTAGAATAGAAAAACTGTTTAAAAATATTAACTGCACACTGTGGTTTAGCATTACTTGAATGAACCTGAATGAAACACACACACACATACAGAGATAAGGTAAAGGTTCTCCTTGACAAATGTCCAGTTGTGTCAAACTCTAGGACGCGGTGCTCATTCCCGTCTCCAAGCCTTAGAGCCAGCATTTGTTCGTAGCGCGACTAGACACGGAACGCTGTCACCTTCCCACCGTGGTGGTACCTATAGCTCACTCCACTGCGTAGATTTGAACTGCTGATCTTTCGACCTGGTGGCCCAGAGGCTTTGTGGTTTAAACCGCACATGTTTAACTACAATTTAATGTCCAACCTAGGCCACCAACTATTCCAGTTACAATCATGTTTCCCCCTGACTAGCTATTATAAAGGATTTATCAGAACTGGACAGTTTAAGAAAAAAATTGAACTATAATATGCATTTTATATTCAATATTTTAAATATTATTTTCCTGCCCATTTCTTTTAATACTAAAAGCAAAACAAAGCGTGCTGCTTATATACCGCCCCATAGGGCTTCAAGCACTCTCTGGGCCGTTTAAAAGTTAATTATGCAGGCTACACTAATACCTGTTCAGCTTTTTACTGTAGATATACAAGCTTAAACAAACTTTCAGACTTGTTCTGTGTCATTCATCTGTAAACTAAACTGTGCGAGTTTTAAAAAAACTTAAAGAGTATATGCAGTGGCTGAATAATTTTATTGTCTGTGATAGTACACTAAACATTGAAAAATTACAGTCTATTTTACCTTCCATTCAAATATGGTTTTTAAAAAATGGTATAAACATCAAAAGCTGCTGTGATGCTGAAAACAGAACTATGGTAAGAAGGAATGATGAGAGGATAGTAAGACTGCTTCACTTCTAAAGGCTCCTTTCAGCTTTCCTTTTAATTGTTTGCCCCATCTTAACCTACTTGCTCTGTCATAAGTACCTTCCCTTTGATAAATGATGTATTTTGCGGATGGCTGCACATAACCAGCTTATGTGCCTAACTGGGACCATGTGAAAGCATACATATTTGGAAATAAACCCCACTTAATTTGTTAATACCTATTTCTGAATCAACATGGTTAGAAACGTTATAGTAAACCTACAATAGTAAATGTTCAAGATTTACTTCTAGTGTGAAACATCAAAGCTTGGCAAAACTTAATTTTGAAGTCTCATTAGTATGTGTAATACTGGTTGAAGGACTCTGGGAGCTGTCAAAGGATGTTTTGTGAACTCTGGAGGTACTAACAACAAAAGTAGATTAAAGTTTAGGATGAGGCCTTAAACTGCAACAGTCAGTGTAATGCAAACTTATTTATAATTGGCCAAGTTTCATTTTCAAGGCCATTGCAAATGCAATAGTTGGTACAAAGTTCAGGGCTACCTTTTGCCCACAAAAAAAGAAAAACAAAACAAAACCCAACAACCAGTTTATACCCTGGCACTGGGAACGCTACAAATGTCAGGGAAAAGAAACCAGTTCAGTACATACTGTAGCATTCTAAATGATAACTGTCCTTTGCTGCAAGTCGAGAAGATTTTTATTAAAATATTTGCATTTTCATTAATCAAGTGAGAACTGCGCTCTCTAATTAAAGTTTATTTCAAAGTAAAACTGTCATCCCAGCTTAAACTCACAGAAGACACAAACAATAGTGCTGTAAAAATTCATTGAGATAGCAGGGTATTTTACAGTTCATTTTAGGACCAGAGCATTTATACCAGTTAACTGTGACTTCACACTGAAATATCAAACTTCCCAAACTGTTTTTGTAAATCTGTTTAATTTTTCCCCACTGAAGTACTGTTTCAAACATGCATATTTTACCATATATGTAAAATGGGATGCTGAAAATAACAGAAGTATATCCATTTAAGTGTATGGAGAAGTAACAGGCACATGTTTTGTGTTACAGAATGCCAAGGGCCTGGCTCACACATAAAAACCAAGCTGTAATTCAGTGTAATATGTACAAGTCTTAGCAAAGCCTTAGGGTCCTTTCCTTTCTTGCTGCCAATGAGAAAGAATACACCGCAATCCAACTTCATTTTGCCCATCTTCTGGTTTGTAGCTATGTATAAACCATAATTCCTGGTTCAATACTATCCAGTCAGCTACCTGACTTCAGATCATGCATTGATTCTGGTAAATTTAACAATTCAGTTAACTAAAATAATTGTTCCTGGTTTCTACGTAATAAGTTAAGAATTATAACATGCTCCTAACATGACAGTGGGCAAAGGGAGTGCTCAAGATCGAAGCATAGACTCTCAGAGGTTTCTGCACTAACAGCGACACCACATCAGTCTTCCCTAATGTAATCCTCTCTGTTTTGGTCCACAGTTTCCATCATGCCATTGGCCAAGCTGCCTAAGGCAGATGGGTGTTTCATACATGCCAAAGCAGTTAGAGGGATCCAGGTTAAAAAAAAGCTACTCAAAGTAAACAAAAATGGTAAAGCAATTATTAAACATTTCATTTATCTAAACAATATAGCTTTAAGTAGCCAATAAATTTTTGTTTTAACTTTATATCTAATTTTTCTTATACTACTACACTAACAACAACCTGTTTACCAATACTAAATGTATCGTTATTTGGAGTGGGCAAAAAAGGGCAGTTGGCATTATGTGTTGTATACCAATAGTTTTTTCAGTAGCTTCCTTTAATTCTCAATTAAAACATGGATCCTCATACCCATTGCAATTAGGTCACATAATTAATCAGAAGAAAGACCAAAGTGGTTACAAAATAAATTCAAGTGTTCAAGTTACAGTATGGTTGAAGCAATCTTTGTGCTATATGCTCTTCATCTTAGCGATAAGTTCTTCTAGACTTTCCTCTGACTCTTGAACAGTTGCTCCATCTATAGTGTTCTCTTCCTGTTAATGACAAAAAGAGGTTCAGCAACTCTATCCACTATTGCCCTCCTCCCCCCCAAAAAGAATTCCAATGAGTTGCTCTGAGCATTCCTTGCCCACCGGCACTACTGGCTAGGGGAGGTGCCTGTTGCAGTCCAACATCTCAAGGGCTATGCTTTGTCCAAGCTTTATGTGCAGGATAATCTGGCACCCATTAAGGAAACCAAAGTAAAATAAGAAAATAGCAGCCTACTCCCAGATAAGCTTAGGTGAGGTGGCTGAGAGCCATTTTTCAAATGTGCCTGCAGCCCAATCCCAAAGAGACTGGGCAAAGGACGTTGATAGAGTGGGATTCGATTGTTTTAAAAAAGTTTAGCAGAAAATGGGGGTTCTTAACCGAAAAAGCCCCCTTGTGCTCTCTAGTAGCAATTTAAAAATATATTAATATTTTTCTGGCAGTATTCCTCCTACTCACCCGGTACTGCGGACCTTGAAAATATGCAGAAATTGAAATATGCAAAAATCTACATAGCACACTGGGGCTCTGAATAATTCTTTTTTAAAATACTTAAATTATTTTGAAGGATAGCGTGGCGGAGCAAAAAACCCTAGTTTAAGCATTAAGTTAGTTCAAATCAAAAATTGTTACTTTTACATTGGTACAGTGGTACCTCACTAGACAACCTCACAAAACGACGAGTCCGCATGACGACGAGGTTTTGCGATCACCATAGCGATTCTCAAAACAGTGATTCCAATGGGCAATTTTCGCTGGATGATGTTTGGGTCCCTGCTTCACAAACCGATTTTCGCAAGACGACGATTTTGCCACTAATTGGCGCTTCACAAAATGGGTGTTTTCAGGACCGATGCTTCGCAGGGCAGCCATTTTAAAAGCTGATCGGTGCTTTGCAAAATGGCTTCCCTATGGGTGATCCTTGCAAAGTGACGACAATTTTTCCCCATTGGAACGCACTGAACGGGTTTCAATGCATTCCAATGGGGAAACGGTTTTCGCAAGATGTTTTCACAAGACAGCGATTTCAATGGAATGGATTAGCATTGTCTAGTGAGGCACCACTGTATTTTAAAAGAACTTCTGTTACCTTGTTTGGTAATGTGTAGGCCAATGCAATCCCTTCTGGAAGATCAGGAAGTGGACCAGAGGCAGCTTTCAACTCCTCTTCTGAAATCTCAGAAACCAACTCTATACCTATACAAGTATAAAGAAAATGGTTACAACAATTACTTTGCTGCCCTGAACCTGTTCACGATTCAGGTAGCAATCGAAAGAGCAGAGAATGATGTTTAGAAGCCTCTCAGTAAATGTCACTCTTTCCACAATGACGTAATGCTGCTCCATCAAGGCTTTATGCAAGATATGCACATTACAGTACGGTCATTAAGTTCCTTTACTGCATTACTTCTTCCATTCAATCCTATGGCTCTGCTTTAGTGACATCACCACAACAGGGTAAAAACTGCATATCTCCCTGCTCACTGGCAGTGTGTGTCTCTAGCCAATACTTTTTGCCTTGCCCTCTCCTAAGATGACACTTAACTTGTCACAAGGGGAAGGCAATGGGCCTCTGCACTCTGCCCATCCTTCTCCTGCTTGGAGAAGATATTTTCTTAGAGCCTTCTGACTGAAATTAACAACTTCTGCAGACTTCTAAAGTGTTAAATTCCTGGGCTGCAGCTGGGGACTTACATATGTACAGTGGTGCCTTGACTTATTAAATTAATCTGTATTGGAACAGTGGCCGTAACTCGAAAATTTCATAAGTCGAGGCACCGTTTTCCACAGGAATGCATTGAAAACCATTTAATGCGTTCCAACCAAAGGAAAAAATTCACCAAAAAAAGAGCTGCCCCCACTGCCCTCTGCCTCCCATCCCCACTGCCTCCTGCAGCGGCGGAGGTGGTGCAGACGGGAGGTAGAGGGCGGTGGGGACGGCTTTGGAAGCCCGGGAAGCCAAAAGCTACCCGGACTGCCGCACCGGGTACTGGCTTCCCGGGCTTCCAAAGCACCGGCACCTGGCGCAGCGGTCGGGGCGGTGTTGGAAGTCTGGGAGGCTGAGCCTCCCTTTTCCTAACTGTTGGAGTGAAAAAGCAGCCTCTTCGCCACCAACAGTTAGTAAATTTAAATTTCCCGCCCTTTCCCCCTGCCTTTTGTTTTTCATAAGTGGAAGCTCCGGCCGCAAGTCGAAGCAAAATTTTGCGCCCAGTGCTTTTTGTAACTCAAATTTTTTGCAAGTAGGCACATTCCTAAAGTCGAGGCCCCACTGTATATCATTCATGAGACAGAAAATAAATAATAACCCAGCAGGGTGATAAGCATCTGTTAGTATTAAGGTACTCCCTTTGCAAGTTAAAATGTAGAAAATTATAATGAATGACTAGGTAAATCCAGTTTGTTCCGTCAATGTCTAAACTTACCCCAATCATTATCTTCATGTACTATTTCTTCTTGTTGTTCAAATACTTCTTGTTTAGGACTTGCTGCTTCTTTTTTCTGGAAACACAAGGACATCATGACTGACAAAAGAGTCTTATCAGACAAGAGCCATGTTATATAAATCTTAATTAAAACTTCAAATGGCCCAATTTGAGTGGCTATGCTGGTAAAAATTCCTGTAAAAAGAGTTCATATAAAATATTCCACCTAAGGAAGCTAAATTTTCTCCAGTGCCTCAAAAGCAGACGGAGCTCTGAAGTTTTGAGTCTTTTTGTTTTACCTTGAACTCCTCTTGCTGCTTCCTGCAGTTTCTGTCACCACACTGTGGATTTGGCTTCATTGTCATGGTGGGAAAGAAATCTTGCATGGCATTGTAACCCAGGTAAAAGCTCACTGTGCCGAAGTTTAATAAATATCTGTGGAAAATCGAAGAAGGCAAAGGCTGAAAATGGAAGATCTGCTCTGCAATTCTTGATGTTCACAAAGTGGTGATTGTAAGGAACTATTATCAACCAAGCTTTTCAAAATCAAAGCACCATAGGTTTAGGTTACTTACTTCAGAACATTTTGCACAAGGAGACCAGCGACCACCCCCATGGTTGTGGGAAGGCTAGCTGCACAAACCCCCTCTCGTTTCAAGGTTTTTTCATCTATGTTTGCTGCCACGACAAGTGGAGGTGCACACTGACCGCAAAAGAAGGTTGAGTAATACATAAGGAGAATGAAAAAGATCATGTACACAGAAGCATTCAGGAGAATGACCCTGATAACTATGAATTAAGTTATATTAATAACTATATTAGAATATTAATTCCATTAATATTCATCCCATTCACCCCATCTCCAAGAAAGAGAACACTGTAGAAGGAGAGCAGAATATCACATACCGCAAAACAGGCTGATTCACCAGGTATGATCAACTGGATATGGCCAGAAACAGCGTTTTCACTCACTCCAGATTCCATCCATATTTGTCCAAGCTCATTACACGCCTTAAGAAAAACAGAATGACACACATTTCTTACACATACACACAGAGAGAATTTGCTATCTAAATAGATAGTGCATTTAAAAACACAAGGACCTGGCTTGATCACCTCAAAGTACTGACTAGCCCAGTATTCTGCCTCTGTAAGTGTTGCCACAAATAGGAAATGAAGACAACAAAGGCTTCCACGTCTTGTTCCACAGCAATTAGGAGGCACATTTTTGTTGCTTACTCGTTAAGTCATGTCCAACTCTTTGTGGCCCCATGGAGTTTGTAACAGCCTGGTCCTCCACAAATTCTCCCAATTTCCTTTCCAAGAACCAGCATCTCCTTGTCACGACATCTTGGGCCAGGAAATTCCTTTGTCTCTTCTGAATTGCCCACTATCTTGCTTCATCCAGAATAACCCCATGTTTTAACACTATGTGTGGGATAAAAATGTGTCTGGAATGCTGAACTTACTGTGTTGATTGCCATGCGAGCTTCAAAGTTATCCACACAGCTCAATACCAGATCAACAGGTTTTCCTTCTTCTAACCCACCTTTGCTGGAAGTACAAACAAACGAACAATAGGCTAGAACTGAGCTGTGTTTTGTTTCATTTGGTGGAGAAATGTCCAGGCTGTCAAGTGTCACATCAGGTCTGCCCAATTTTGCTTTGGGCCATCTCCCCTGCCTTTGTCCTGTTTTGTGCCCTCAGTCCCCACCTGCTGCCAGAATGCTGTCCCAAGATCCATTCCAAATTTTAATTTATCCTCTTGGCTGTACAAAGTTTCCCATCCACTTCAGAACATCTATATATCACAAACTCTAAAAATATATTTTACCTGATCCTATCCATAAAATGTTGAAAGTTGTTCATAGTTGTGATGTTATAATTATGTACTTCAAACTGGACATCAGGATTTATGTTCCTAGAAAATAAAATAACTACCCTGTAATATATAGCCTTAATGTGAAAACAAAACTCTAACATTACTTCCCAAGTCCTACAAGTCCTACAAATCCAATCCCTGTTTGAAAACAAGTCTAGTTGACTTCAGTATGTATGTATGTATGTAAAATATTATCCAATGCGGTTTACATAATTAAAAAGACAATATTTAAAAGCTAAAAACAGTAAATATAAAAATCATTAAAAGGAATTAAACAAGTATTGTATTAAAAACTGTAAATAAAATTAATACTAAAGCACATTTAAAACAGAACAGAACAATCCATTTAAAAACCCCTCATACACATGACTGGACTGGACGTTTTGTGAAAACAATCAATGTCTTATTGTAACCTAATGTTAGAAGAGCTACAAGTATGAGGTCCTATTTTACATGTTCATTTCCTCAATCACATACCTCAAAGTATGCTCTGCTGCGTGAACTTTACTCAGTCCAGCTTGATGAGGCTGGAAAAAGAGTCGGTTCATATTTGCCAGTTCCACTTTATCATAATCAAACAGGAGCAGCTAAAATAAAGATTACAATTAATACACAAATGGATGTCATTTGGGTTCCAATGTAGTATAAATATGACCACAGTCCTTTGCTTTGCTAATACTTATTCCAACTGATCTATATATGATCTTTCATTCAATTAGCCCCGACTGCTCTCTGTTTTAGGCAAGACTGAAAACATATGATGGATCTACTCAAAGCAAGGCATCCATCTACGTCTCTCGTTTATTTTCTTCCAGCATTTATCCCAACTGAGTAAGCAGGTGCCAGGAAGAAAACACAAAAAGACCTTGCAGTTCCAAGCTGCAATATCACGGCAGTGAAAGTACAAACAAGGGACATGCTTTGGTTTGATAAAAAGAAATGAAAGTAAATGCAAAGCAAAGCGTGCTGCTTATATACCACCCCATAGTGCTTCAAGCACTCTCTGGGCGGTTTACAAGTTAATTATGCAGGCTAGCACAAAAGGTAACTTTTTACCATCTATAGAGACTACAAGGTAGGTCTTGACTTCACAACTGTTCCCAAACACCCATTTCCAAATGCTCAGGTAACAGTTGCTATGAGTAAAAATCCCTCTTCAGACAGTAAAACAATTGAAGTAATCTATATGCTGAGTAGATTCCTTTTAAGATCACAGATAAACGGCAAAAATGAAAAGTATACATATGCTTTTCTAAAACAGACAAAATGTGTGTTAAAGTTATTGCAAAGAAAATCCAAATTAACATCAACCTCATTGCCTACAGTTTGCCCATAAACTTCTGTGGGTTCCATGTAAAGAAAATTAAGCTCCCATGTATCCCCTATGTCTCTCTGCGGCATACATAAAAAGGAGCAGAGTAGAACCGGGCCACAGTGTTGTGTATACATGTAAGAAATTTAGTTTTGCTGACTGATGAAGTCTGCTTTGTGGTCCTGCTCTCACACTGCCTAATCTTTCTCAAGGGATTATTGCAAGTCTTCAGGATGATAAATTTACATATGCTGCCTCAAATTGCTTTTAAAAGAAGAGTACATTATTCTGTACATGTCAAAAGAGATAAGCACTAAAACACATGGTAAACATACATGGTCTGTCCCTACCATTACATAAAGAGAAGGCAGCCCATGGCAGCAGATGTTGGGGAGTGACAGCAAGATGCTGGAAGATGGAGCAATAAAGGCCTGGTGGCTTGTGTTCTGCCCTCTGTCAGCCTGCTGCCTTGAGGAGAACACCCAGCTATTACCTGTTACAGTTTCTGTACGTGGAATGGGCCCATCTTTGCCTCAGGCAGCACATACCTTTAGCTGCCCCTGTGCAAGAGCTCTAGCCAATTACCGTTTCCAAGACATTCTGATTTTTCACACAAACACCTGCCTTTCCCACCTACGATGGCCATTACAAAAACATGCAGCTGAGAAATAAATAATTCATCATTTCCCAAACTGTTAACACCCACCATGACATTAAAATGAAGAAGTGTATATTACCTTACCAATGCCACATCTTGTCAGCATCTCGGCCGTCACACTGCCAACTCCGCCAACACCCACCACAGCTACTGCAAAGGAGCGGATTTTCTGTGACAAGAAACCAATGTTGGTAAGTGCTCTGTTCCCTGAATTTATAACATGGAGGAAAACTTTTGCAAGAAATAGGAGCCCACCTCATAATCTTTCACAATTCCCATTCTTTTCAGTGCCATCAGGCGACTAGAAGCAGAGAGAGGGAAGAAAAATACTTGGTCAAGGAATAATAGCTTTGTCCTGTCATTGGCACAGCAATCTCAATACCAAAGTGAGACCAGCAATTCCACAGTTCATCCTGAGTGAAATCACTATTCTGCTTAGCACTTCATTGCCTGTGGCTTCAGCAGAGTCAAACAAGACAATTTCACTGATGTAATGACATTCTGGCACATCATCTAATCATTTCCAATTTATCTGGAAGTTGAGAATGGCAAATGGACTTCTTTCTTGTTAGGTTGAAATGTTTCACTGCTTGGATGAGTAGCGAAATGTTTCAACCTAACAAGATAGAAGTCCAGTTGCCATGAGTCAACTTCCAGATAAACTCACCTGGATGACTGAGAATCTTCACAGATATATTGATACAAATTTTCCAGTTTAGTGCAAAAGATAAAATAGAACTGAAACCTTTTCAAAGTCCTGACTCCTGACAGCAGATATGGAAAATGTTAATAATTTCTATACTGTAGCCAGGAGCTCCTGATCAGTTACTGGGCACAATTCAAAGTGCTGGCGTTAACCTATAAAGCACTAAACAACTTGGATTCAAGCCATCTAAAAGACCACATCTCCCTCTGTAAGACTATCAGGGGAGGACTTTCTCTCAGTCCCATTATCCTCGCAGGCATGCTTGGTGGGAGCATGGCAGAGGACCTTCACTATCACTGTTCTCAGACTGTGGAACTCCCTCCCACAGGAAGGCAGACTGGCCCCATCTTTGTGTCCTTTGCACAGGCAGGCAAAGACAGGCTTTTCTTTAATGACTGACAGCCAGAGAGGTTTTTCAATTGTTGTGCTCTGCTCTTTTTAAATGTGTTTTTAGTATTGATTTTATTTATTGTTTTTAATATTATACTTGTTTAATGCTTTTTAAATTTCAGTCATCTTGGTCATCTTGGAACTGCAGAGTTGGAAGGAACCCAAAGGATCATCAAGTCCAGGAGGCACAGTGGGGAACTGAACTCCCAACCTTTGGCTCCACAGCCAGGTAGCAATGCTACATGAGACTATCTTAATAAAAAACTGAGATGCTAGTATGCAACACATGCAGTGGTGAAAAGGGAAAAGCTTTTTTTGGTAATGGAAGGGAAAACAAGAAGAGATACAATCCACAGAATGCCTATAGAGATGACTCTGCCAACCCTGGAGTACAACGCCCAACATTCCCAGTCAGGACGGGCCATTCTGTATCATCATGAAACTTGTCTTCTAATTCTAACACCTCTGGGAGCCAATGAATAGCAGGAATCTCTATAAAATTGTGCATTATCTTTTGAGATTCCACATAGTCAACCCGTACAACTGAATAGGGAAAACAGAAGGAATAGAACGTTTCATCCTCTACATTCTGAGGTCGGAATGTAAGCTTTCCCCAATCCCCGAAAAGACTTCATCTGCACGATTTTCTCTCGAGCATCTCCCAAGGGTCCCCCCACCCTCTCACCTGTACGGATTGGAGTCCGTCACCTCCGGGCTCATCTGCTCGATCCGCGCTCGCTGGCCCTGGCCGCCGCCCCTCTCCCGCGCAAGCTCTTCCTCCAGTTCTTGGATACGGCGCTGCAGCTGCTCCACCCGCTTCGCCGAGGCAGCCATGGCCGGCTTCCGAATCGACGGCTCAAGTCGGGACAAACTCACCGAAGCCGATCACGGAGACCACTCAGCTCAGCGCCACCCCACCAAAGACACGTCTCCACTCCCACCGCTTCCTGGAGTAACCGCCAAAGCCGTCCCCGGTCACCCGGCGCTAGCAAGAAGAGTTCCGGCCAACAAACGGTTGCTACGAGCAACGACGGGCGGATCTTATTGAACCTTTCAGAGGGTCAGCCGGGACAGTGCTTTGCCGCGATGCTTTTCTCCCCGGCAAGAAACGGGTTATATTAGATTTAAGGCACCACAAATAGTGTTTTGTTCTATGCCCTTAAGCCGGAACGGACTATTTTAAGTATATCACTTCAGACTACTTCACCACATACAACTTTTCTAGGAAAATCATCGTCATCAAGAAGGCTGGAATCGATGATTCCCAGGGCCCCTTCCAGCTCTGCGGTTCTAAGATGATGATGATGATTATCATCACCAGATCTTCCGAAAGACTGTTCCAAAGTCTTTTTATTTTAAACGTGTGTACAGATATTTATTTACTTTATTTTGGCTACTGCAGAATAGTCTGCTTTTCGCCCCGGATAGTTCCACAAGGGCAAGCGTCTCTCTCTCTCTCTCTCTCTCTCTCTCTCTCTCTCTCTCTCTCTCTCTCTCTCTCTCTCTCTCTCTCTCTCTCTCTCTCTCTCTCTCTCTCTCTCTCTCTCTCTCTCTCTCTCTCTCTCTCTCTCTCTCTCTCTCTCTCTCTCTCACACACACACACACACCGACCGCAGATTTCGCCCCGCCCCCATTGTGTCCCCCATTTAATCAGGTTGGCATGAGGGCTGCAAAAGCCTTTCAGCTCCGGCAAACGAAGGGAAAACTGAGGGAGAGGCGACGGTTGCCTGAAGGCTTTCCAGAGGCCCTACGTTGTTTGCCTCAAGGGGCGATTCTTGGTCTTGAGATGAGGAGGAGGCTGCCTTCGCTCCCTCTCCCAATTCCCCCGAAGGTGGAGGCGGCCCGCTCTGGTCGTGACGAGGATCGGTAGCTGAGGCGCGGCGACCTTTGCCTCAGAGAGGCATCGTTTGGGGAAGGCAGGCGGCGGCGGCGGCGGCAGGGGCAGGAGGAGCGGCCGCGCCTACGCGGGCGAGAGAGAAAGCGCCTGAAGATGGCCAGCGAGACCGACACGACTGAAGTGAGGGAACGGCACAGGTTTGACCAAGGAGCCTTGGAGAGATACCTCCGCCAGCATCTGCCAGGCTTCCCTCCGCAGCCTTCCGAAGCTCTGACGGTCCGGCAGTACAGGTAAGGCGAGGGCTACCTGTCGCGCCAGGGAGGAAACCGCGGCCTCCTCAGGCGTTGTGAGGCTACAGCACACCCCACCTTTTGCCAGGCTAAGCAGAGCAAAGGTTTCGTCACAAACGTCTCCTTGAATTTGATTCTCACAGTAGGAAGTTCTGCAACTCCAAAAGTTTTGCCCTTTCCTGGCTGTTTGCCCTGCACTCCTCCTTGACAAAGCCTGTTGGAAAATGGAAATTTGAAAAGATTGGCCGGTCCTGAGAAGTGGTTATGTATTGCTTAGTAAAATGCTTTGTAGCTTTAAAAAAAGTGAAGAACGATCCCCGTTTCTCAGTGATACAGCCGCTAGTCACCCCTATCATTAAGGCTATCACCACAAGCAACCCATTTTAGGTGTTATGGAAGGCCAGTAGTTTGTGTATTTTGTTACTATAACATTTTTTATGCCAGTGATGGGGAGAGGCAATTTTTGCATTTTCTGCCTTTACTTAGGTTGAAGTGTGGGATAATAACCATGTGTTACCTAGCCTTAGGCAGAAAAACATTTGACTTGGCCCTCTTGCACAGATGGGCAGCATTTGGGTTCCTTTCCTGGTGGCCATGAAACTCATGAAGTTGTTGTGAGGACAAAGTGGAAACTGAGAAAGTGTGCTACATATGCTACTTTGAACTCATTAAAGGAAAAGTAGGATATAAATATGAAAAATAAATAAGAATGGCCCTATATTTCCCAAAGTTTCACCACCTCTGGTTACTGACATAATTTCAATGCTATATTATGTTACTACAGATCTCCAAGCAGTGAGAAGCTTTGGGTGTGATACTTACTGAGATTTGTTTCTCTTTGGAAGCAGGTTGCTGGAGTTTTATAACATTTGCAGATGTACAAAAGTACAGGCTGAAAATAAGCAGAAGTACTCCTGAAGTTCTAGCAAATTTACAGTGTCAAACAAGTTACTGATAGTTATGTCACTCCATAAGGAAAATGCACGGAGAATTCTTCAGTTGAGCAATAGATTTTTTAAAAAGGAAAAACATAAATGGCACGGAAGTGTGCACATTTTATACTAATCTCCCTGTTTTGGTTGCATTTTATCTAATCCAGAAAGGGGAGGAGGGAAATGAGGATGCAAAGTACAGCAAGAGAGATTGATATTTACCATAGCCGCTACTAATTAACTAGCTTGTTAATAGTTTTGCTTCCCTAGAAACAAATATCCCATTAGAAAGTGATATGACATCTCTAAGAATGACATATATGTTACAACATGAGTTTTCATGGACAAAATACATTTGTTTCTGAGGATCATTTTACTTCAAGGAAAGGGATAAATTATAGAAGTTAATTATTGTTCTCCCAAGCCATAGAGCACATAGAGACATTGCATTTTGTTTGCAAGCTGTCTTGCCTTTCTTTTTAATAAGAGAAGCCTGAGAATTTCATAGATTCAGTGAGAAAACTCTGTAAGTCATAATGCCTTGAATGACAGTTGTAAAATTAGTATCTAAAGATATCTTGATTTTATCAGGAAAGCAACCTACATGCCTTAGGTGTGGTTGCTCTTCCAGAACACCCACAGCTTAACTCTCAACAAGCTAGTGAAATAGTTGGTAGACCTTGGGGGGGGGGGGAGGAAATACAATGGGCCATTATGGGTGGTTGATACCTTCTTAAAATCACCAATTTAGCTGTCTCAATTTTTTCCCCTTTGGGTTACAAAGGGCTCAAACTGACTGACAGAAAGCACTTATCAGCAGTGCTAGCCATACCATTGAGCATGACAGTGCAATTGCCTCAGACAGCAGTTCTGGAGTATCATGGATGGACTGAACTCTTGTAGTTATTTAATTTGATCTCATTTACTGTTGTCGAGTGGTGATTGTAGGATATTTCACCTCATATGTCAAACTAACTTGGCTGGTTTTTGATACTGGAGACCTTGATACTGGGGCATCATTTGTTGCTTGGCCTTGGGCAACAGAATATCTTTGGTCTGCCTTTTTACTGTGTGAAGGCCCAGGAAGTGCCTTTTATACATGTTGCCCTAGGGTACAGGCAGTTAGACTAATATTGACATTATTGGTATTGTTTGTTTATTTAAATATTTATACATGGTGCCTCGACTTACAACCATAATCTGTTCCATAAGATGGGCGTAACTCGAAATAGTTGTAAGTCGAAGCACCATTTCCCATTTAAATATACTGAAACCCCATTAATCTGTTCCAGCCGGAAAACAACAACAACAACAACAACAACAACAAACAACAACAACAACAACAACAACAATCATCATCCTCATCATCATCATCATCATCTCATGGCTTAACATGAGCTGCTCTGATATACAGTTCACTAAAAACATGTTCATCAACTGGAAAGGCTCTAGAGCAGCTTATATACTATCAAAAACAAACAGCACTGAAAGAAAGGAAAATACAGTGGTACCTCGCATAATGAAAACATCGCTGAACACTATGGGGCTGGGGGAAAAAACCACAACCCCCCTGCCACAGCCAGCCACAGCGGAACGCAATGAGGCTGGGGGAAAAAATCAATACCCCCCCAAGCCAGTCCCAGTGGAACGCCATGGGGCTGGGGGAAAAACTCAAAAAACCCACACATACAGCCAGCCCCAGCGGAACGCCATGGGGCTGGAAAAAAACACTCAACTCCCTCACAATGGAATGCCATGGGGCTGGGGGAAAAACTCAACCCCCCCCCACACACAGCCAGCCCCAGCGGAATGCTATGGGGCTGGGGGAAAAAACACAACCCCCACCCACAGCCAGCCTCAGTGGAACGGCATGGGGCTGGGGGGAAAAATAAAAAACCGTCCACCACACACCCAGCCCCAGCGGAACGCTATGGGGCTGGGGAAAAACACACACTAAAACACACAAAAAAAATCACAGCACAGAATCATAATCCCCCCCAAACCCAAACCCACCCTGTAAAACAAAATAAATGTACTTACTCAGGAGCAGAAAGCAGCTCCAGGCAGTCCCAAGCCTCCTCCAACACACTCACTCTAACCGTTGGGGTGAAAGAGCTACAAAGAAGCAGCCTCTTCTCCTAGCAACAGTTAGCAAATTTGAATTTCCCTCCTTTTCCCCCTGCCTTTTTCCTGTCACAACTCGAAGCTCTGGCTGCAAGTCGAAGCAAAGTTTTGCGGCCGGAGCTGGTTGCAAATCTAAATGGTCATAAGTCGGGACGTTTGTAAATTGAGGCACCACTGTACCCTGCTTTTCTCCTCGATAGGAGTAAGGTGATCTACGATATTAAAACAAACAATATTAAAAAATGTAAAACAATAAATGTTACATTATTTAAAAGGATTAATGTGATATCAAAAATTGACTGGCAGCCAGTGGAGCTGCTATAATGGAAGGGTGGTGGGATTATGTGATCCCTGCAACCAGCCCCAGTTGACAATCTGGCTGCAGGATTTTGGACTCGCTGAAGTTTCCAAACACTTTTCAAAAGCAGACCCAAGTAAAGCACATTGCAGGAATCCAACCAAAATGTAACTATGTCATGTGTCACCCTGGCCAGATCAGGTATCTCCAGGAATAGGCACAGCTGGTACACTAGTTTTAACTGTACAGATATATTCTTGGCTACTGGGCATTCTGGCTCAGGGATGAATCCAGGAGCACACCCAATCTGAGTTTTGGGGGAGAGTATAACATCTTGATGGTTGCAACTCTGAAGCGTTTCTGGTTGCAAAGTGGTAAGTGCTTTTGCTGATCAGGGAAAATGAGCTATTTTAAAATTTGCCATGAATTTTAAGCAACATTTTCACAATTCAAAGATGTAGTCATCTTGTTGTTTGATGACCTGCCTAAGAATACAGGGGGTGTAAATGAGTTGTGCTATGTCATTTTCTGTGCTGTAGAATGTAATGGAATATGTGAGCTTCCACCTTTCTGTGTAGTGAGGATATCTGGGGAGAGCAAGAAAGAGTCTTCTCTCCATCCCCTACCCTGACAACCTGACACAGAACTCTGTACTCTGCTGCAATTTGTACAATCAGATTGTTGTTGGTAGGAGATTGGGGTTTTAGACTTTAGGGTCCTTAAGCATCTCTCAGACTGCAGATTGCAGAATAATCCATTCCAGCAAAATCACTGTTGAACGAAATTGTCATCAAGTGAAAGTAAAAATCCCATTGAAATGCTCTCAGACTGCAGATTGCAGAATAATCCGTTCCAGCAAAATCACTGTTGAACGAAATTGTCATCAAGTGAAAGTAAAAATCCCATTGAAATGCATTGAAAACTGGTTCAGTGCGTTTCAATGGGCGAAATACTTCAGCATCCAGCGAAGATCCTCCATAGGGCAGCCATTTGCGGGGCCTGTAAAGCGAGGAATCCGTCATAAAACACAGCAGGGAGCTATTTTACACAGCGGGTGGCCATTTTGAAAGCCCAATGATCAGCTGTTTTGATCGTCGTTAAGTGAAGAATCAGTTCCCAAAGCAGGGAACCAATCATCATGAAGCGATTTTTCCCTATTAAAACATTGTTTTGCGATCGCAAAAGCGATCGCAAAAACTTCATCGTTAAGCGATTTCCTCATCTAACGAGGTAATCGTCAAGCAGGGCACCACTGTATATGTGATGCTTTATCTGAAGATTGGTGAATGTTTCAGGGCCTTTGTATTGTTTTCTTTGGCATCCATTTCCATCTCTTTTTTGCATGATTTAATTTGAAAATGAGATTTGCTGTATAAAATATATGTAAATATGAATACATTTATAAAATGTGTGTGAAAAAATTCTACACAAAATAAAGTGGGGCTTGTCACGACCCAGCTTCCTGTTAAGGAGAACTTGGTCGGCAGACAGAGAGCAATTGGGAGCCTGAGTACCCCTAATCAGCTGGGTAGAGTCCTGGTGACCTCAGCCAGGGTGTACAACAAACTCCTTCTTACAAGTCTGCCCTAAAAAGATACTTGCTTACGCTTAATTAAGTTTAGCAAGAAGTTGCACATGAGCTTTGTAGTCCTAAAATCTACTAAGCTCAATTAGGTAGGACTCAGTAGCGTACTGTGGCCTTGCATCTCCCTCTGAGAATGGCTGTGGCGGGCTTTACTGTTCAAGAGACCAAAAGATTTTATAATTGATCTTTTTTATTGAAAATATAGTTTTACAGAATAAAGTCAGTTTGATGCAAAAGCATAGCAATAATACATTTCCAAGGCTTGATACAATTACAATTGAGGCAACTACAGTGTTGCCCCGCATAGCGACGTTAATCCGTTGCGGATTAATCGTCGCTATGCAGAAACATCGCTAAACGGGACGGAAAAAGCCATAGGAACGCATTAAGCTTCGTTTAATGCATTCCTATGGCTCCCAAACTCACAGTTCAGCGAAGTTCCTCCATAGCGCCACCATTTTCGCGCCCTCGGTAAGCGAGGGCAGGGCGCGAAAACACGTGCCTACCATTTTGGGCACCCGGTGGCCATTTTGGAACCGCCGATCAGCTGTTTTAAAAAACATCGCAGTGCGAAGATCGGTAAGCGAAACGCTTACCGATCATCGCAATGCGATTTTCGGCCATAGAAAACATCGCAATGCGATCATAAAAATGATCGCAAAATCCGCATCACTATGCGGATTCGTCGTTAAACGGTGCACTCGTTAAGCGAGGCACCACTGTAATTCCCTTTTGGTTACAAAAGCTCTAAAAATCTCTAAAAGCTTCCTTAGGGTAGGTAAAAGGTGTTTCTTTCTTGAACTCTCTACATCTCCCCAAGTATTTTCCCTAGCACAGGGCAGCAGGAAAAAAGACCTAGAAAAATCTCTGGTTCCAACAAAGGAAAAAATAGGAACAAGATGGAACACTGCACATGGCAAGAGTTCATTTTTCTATCTTCTAGACTCCTCCTGTCTTCTTCGTCTCCTACGCTGTCATCCAATGGGTGGTAGAAGTAATCCCCTCTCTTCTTGTGAGAAACAGGTGTTTTTTGCCTCCATCTATTCTGTTCTCTGCCATAACAAGTGTTTGGTCTTCTTATTGTGTATTGGCTTGTACTGGTCTAAAGGAAAAACATTCCCACGGCCCTCTGGAACAACATTCCCATCATACAAAATTATTCTTACACAGGACCAATATGCATCCATTTTACATTTCTTAAGAACTACACAAACCATCTTCATATATGCTTTAAACCAGGGGTGTCCAACCTTTCACCTTCCCTGGGCCACATTAGAAGATGAAAATTTGGTTTTGGCCGCACATAAATGTGGTTTGGGCCACATGAGGAGGCAGCCCTAGCCGTCCTCCGCAGCCTCGCTCCAAGCGCGCTTACCAGCAGCTGCAATCTCAGACAGCAGAGGCTGCCAGCTTCGACTCTGGTGGCTTTATGGGGCCGGGAGGGGGTCCACCTATTGATGGGGACGGCACAATGCAGTCACACAGCCCCCCTCTCCCCTCCCCTCCCGTTCCTTCCTTCCTTCCCTCTCTCCCCCCCTACCGTTGTGAAGTGCCCTGGCCGCATTCTGGCCGCAAGTGCTGGAAGTGTAACTTGAAACTTTGGAATTTCTTTAAAAATAAAAATTTGCACTGGGCCGCATTACGAGCCGACCTGGGCCGCACGCGGCACATGGGCCGTAGGTTGGACAAGCCTGCTTTAAACCCTCATAATCTCAACCATGACAGGGCTTAATCTGTGTTTACTTCTCTCTGGCCTGTACCTTTTATTGGTAACATGTATCTTTGTTTTTGTAGCTCAGGGCAGTCAAACCCAACTTTCTACTTGAAAAAAGGCGTGAGAACCTATGTCCTCAGGAAGAAGCCCCATGGTCCTCTCCTACCTCGGGCCCACAAGGTACAGCATGGTTGTGGCAATTTCTCAGGAAAATACTGCTGTGTGTTGAATTTAATTGAGAAACACTTACTGCACTTTCATTTGGTTAGGTGCTAACATGTGACTAATCCTTTATATCCTATTGCAGTTTGAATGATTGCTGAATACTATGTGTCTCTTGCAATGTAGCTATATTCTGCTTGGCTGGATATAATCTCTATTGATCTCATTAATAAATCTCAGCTGCAGAGAGCTTAAATCAGAAGCTTTGAATTAAGTGCTACTTTACTAAAATAAACAACATTCCAACAGATGTTCAATTTGAAAGCATTTTTTAACCTTTTGAAGTACTGTATACTGTATTTGAACCATTTCTTTAAAATACATTCATTTCTTAGGGAGAAAACAAAGTGGCATTTTAGGAGTAAATGTAGAAACTCTGGTACAATCTATGTCATTCAGCACCAAACAGCACAAAGGGAAGAAGAACAAATGTTTGGTCTGGATAAGCCCATTATTGAATTCTTAAATACTATTGGTTTAAAAGGACCAACCAAATAATTTTATGTGGATCAAACTTTAATTATTCATTCTAATCTTCACATTCTTGCACACCTTATCCTATCTCTTTCAGGTTGACAGGGAATATCAGGTTCAGAAAGCCTTGTTTGCATCTGGATTTCCAGTTCCTGAACCCCTTTTATATTGCAATGATAGTTCTGTAATTGGAACAGAATTCTATGTGATGCAGCATGTACAGGTTAGTGCTCTAGCTGCAGTAACTTTGGTTATATATCATTCCTATGTCTTATGCAAGAATTTGATCCAGAAGCTAATAAACCATGCAATCTTAAAATAGTAGTGGATAAGTTGGACTAATATTTCCATGAGCTCCAATCAGCATGACAAATACTTGAGGATAATGGAAGTTCTGGTCAAACCACACCTGTGGAGCTACAAGTTCATTACTCCTGCTTTAAAGCTTTTATTGTATTTGAGCTGCTGTTGTTGCTTTTTCAATTGACCGTTGTTTTTATCTTATGCTAACTCTGCTAGAACAGTGCAGGAGGTGGTATTTGGAGCCTGAAGTGGAAAGTGATGAAAAATCACACTCTTTTCCTCTAGTGCATTGGCTCCCAACCTTGGGTAACCCACATGTTCTTGGACTTCAAGTCCAATAAACCCCAGCCAGCACTGCTAGTGGTAAAGGCTTCTGAGAATTACAGTCAGAGAACACCTGGGTTATGCAAGGTTGGGAATTAGTGCTGTAGTAGGAAGCTTCAACTGGGTCTCAGTTCCTTCCTGGTCTCATATATGAAAGAAAACCTTCTGCATATAGTCTGGATCCAACCCCAAGGACACACTGGACTTCATAATTGATTTCATAATTCATAGTGGTATTTTTCATGTTTGATTGAAATAAAGCTTTAATTTCTCTAACTTTGCTTCCATATAATATTCAATGTATTATGTTCTTAGGGTCGTATTTTTCGAAACATAGCACTACCTGAAGTAAGCCCAGCAGAAAGATCTGCCCTGTATGTGGCTCTAATAGAAACTCTGGCCCGACTGCATTCATTTGATGTGAAGTCAATGGGACTTCAAGATTATGGACGAGGACCAGGTTACTGTAAGAGACAGGTAAATATCTGCAGTGACAGCAGCAATAAATATTTCATCCTAAGCCTATGATTTTTTTGTACTAGTAAATCAATGTTTTAGGTGTGAATAGTTTTCATTTGCAGATATAATTTCTTTATTTTTCATTCAAACCTTGTGGGTTTTTTAAACAATATAGTATTCTGGGGAACATAAAAGCATTGGAAAATGTTTATATTCATTCATTGCTCAGCTTCTGATAGGTAGAAATAAAATTCAGTTCGATTTGATATTTGATGGTTTTAAGTAAGAGGTTGATAGCTGGTTTTACTCTCTTAGAGGGAAAGATATAGTTCTGATCTTAATTTTTATACCTATTGAAGATGGTTTCATTGTTTAACATTGTTTTAACATTTGTTTGGACATTGATGGAGTTTTGGCCTCAAGGCTGTCTGTATAGAAACAATAAAAGAAATGTCGGTACTGCCATATAGCCATATCAGTGACAGAACTATGCAAAAAAATAATAATAACAGAGGAATAAAAATAACACAGAATGAACATCTGTAGACAATGAGTAACATTTCAAACTGTCAGTTCTGAATCTGGGTTGTTTAAACTAAGCTGAGTCAATGTCAGCTGCAGTTCCCAGAATGGATTATACATGAAACTGTGATCAAAGGAAAGTGAAAACAGGAGGTTCTGAATGTGAGGGTTCACTTTGTACCTGAGCCAGTTCTGGCTCCCTTTCAAGAAAGACATCAGTCGAGGGTTGCTCTTTTAACAATGGAACATTTATTGTGTCTTGAACAAATAAACTAGTGCCTTTAAACATTTCTGTGTCTTTATCTCCCTCTGTCAACAGGACGGTCGGGGGTTTCCAATCTTCAACAATAAATGGGTTGCCATAACTAGAGTTCCACGGGCCTGGTGGATCTGAGGTTGTCCAGTCTCTCAACAGGGTGGTTGATGGGGCAGGCAACAGGGACATAGCCTCAGCTCTGAGAAGGTCATCCCAGAGGGTATTCCCCTGCCAATCCAATGTTTCCCAGACCTTTTCAACTCCTCCATCGCCAGAACTCTCCATTCACTTCTCTTACACCTCTCCTCAACCTTCTCTCTTTCCTCTCTAATCCTCCTCCTCCACTCCTTTGCCTCAGTTTCTCCCCAGTAAGAGGGACGTAGCAGACCTCCTCCAATAACTGGTCTCTTCCCTTGGTACTTTGATCCTTTCCCATCTATCAGTCTAAGGGTCCTTGGTCCAAATCCATTCCCAACCGAGAGGCAAGGGCTCCTCTCTCCTTATAACTTCTCCTTGCCGTGCTTCTCTTTCTCTGCCATTCCCCTTCTTGTTTCCCACCTTTTCTGCTCCTCTCTCACTTGATTCCCATCCCCCTCATACATTGGATCACCGTCTCCTGTTCCTTCCCCTCGGGATGCTTATTTGGAGCTACTGTTTGAGCAATTGATGGTTTGCCCTTCTCCTCAGGCCTATCCTTAGTGTCGAGGGTGGACGGCGCTCCAGCGAGTGAGGCCTCCGACTCACTGCCTATCTTGCACTGAAATCCTACACAAAACTGTGAGGGAGAGTGTCTAGATCAATTTGTTTTGCTTGTGCACTGATATTGTGACATAACTGCACAATTACTATAGTTAGTAATGTTCAGCAGATAGAATGAATAGCATGCAGGCTTCCTGCTCTTTCTTGCTAGCTGGTTATTTATTTACTGAACCTGAAAGTGCAGAAGCAATCTGTGACCCTTTGGTAATATTTCAGTGAGAGTGCTCAATTACTCATGCCAATTTAGTTATCTAAGAAGAGGCATTGAACTAATTTCAGGAAATTAATTGATTCAAGAAAAATATCCAGAGAAGTTTCTGTCTTAGTCTGTCACAGTATATTGGCAAAAGGGGGAAAAAGGGTCAAAATAATGTAGTGCTTTAAAGACTGATAGTTTTAGTTCAATCTGAGGTATTGTGGATCAAAATCCACTTCCTTAAACACAGGAGTGCAAATACTTGTCCTGCATATTTATATCCTCACAACTAGGTGACAGATAATTCCACCTGATCTGTAGCCATTACCCTAACCAGGACCTGCTAGAAGTAATTAATGGCTTGACAGTCCTATTCCTGTGTTACAGAACCCCTATTACTTTGTCCATTGTCTGTATCCATACCTATTCATGGGTATATGTGTAAATATAAAGAACATGTTTTTGAGAAAATGAATTTGGATCTGTAAACACAGTGAAATGAAACTATTAGCCTTTAAAAAGTGGCATATTATTTTGCCTTCCCCCCTTCTGCCAAAAGGAAAAACAAATCAGTGTTTTGATTTCAGTGTTTTAAAAGTCAGCTTCCCAAGCATGCTTGTCTCAAGGTGCTTCTAAAGAGGATTGAATGTTACTCTTATGTACATGTAAGTCACAAAGTCTACATACACAATGTTGACCTATTCAACTGGAGAGAGAGATGCATGTGGGTGTTGTAGGATTCCTGTTTTTCAGTGGAAACAAGAGATATCAGCTTCTTCTGTTTCCCACACTTTCTGTTTTGTGCTACTATTTTGAAATGAATTCAAGAGAAGCTGCCATTCAGATACAGAACCAAAGTAATCAGGAAATGTATCTGAGATCAGGCTGCTTATTTGTTGACCTGGTTCCTAAAGAACTATAAAACCATAAAACCATTTCTCTGTGCCTAAAAGGGTACTCGTTTTTCTCAAGCAGCAGCGTTCCCCTTTCTCTATTGCTGTGGTGGACCCTAGGCATTTTGTAGGCTGTGACAAAGTACCAAATAATACCATGCCACTTGTCCAACTTAAGATACATAGTATCTAGGGCCAGCCAACTGAAATTACAAGAAGCAGGATATACTGTTTCCCTGAAAATAAGACCTAACCTGAAAATAAGCCCTAGTATGATTTTTCAGGATGCTCATAATATAAGCCCTACTCCCAAAATAAGCCCCAGTTAAGTGAAACCCTGCCCTCCACCATTGTGCAGCATTGTGCAGCAACCAGAAGAAGATGGTGTGACTGTATTTGAATAAATGCAGATTGTTGTACATATGAAAAAATAAAACATCCCCTGAAAGTAAACACTAATGCATTTTTGGAGCAAAAATTAATATAAGACCCTGCCTTATTTTCCGGGAAACACGATACTGCCGACATATCTCTCCATCTCTGCTGGTAGAGATACAATAATAGTAAATAACTGAAAGTGTGCTCTACATTCAAGACATTTGAAGTCTGATGCAATAATTCCATGGCCTTACTGTGTCCCTCACAGTGGTACTGACCCTGTGCATGACCAGCTGCTTCGAAAAGCAATTTGTGGCATGGTAGGAGACTTGGATCGACCATGATCTAGCCACATTTTTCCTGTATATTTTTTCATTTGTTAGGCTTCAATCCTGCATCTGTTTTTCACAACTTACTAATTATGGTTTTGGTTTGGTTTTAGGTATCTGCATGGAAAAGACAGTACCAAGCAGCCACTCATACTGACATCCCGGCTATGAATGAGTTAGCAGAATGGTTAAGAAATAACATTCCAGCTGATGATTATGAAGAAAAACTGGTTCACGGAGATTTTAGATTAGATAATGTAATATTTCATCCAAGAGAGGTATTCTGCAGCCAGTTTCAATTATTCTCATACAGCAATTTTAAAATATTATACTGTTGTACAGAGCAGGGGTTAGAACAACACAGTCTGCAACTGGCAGTGAGCCCCCTCTCATCTGTTTTAGGGGCACCTAGGATCCCAGATAAGAAAAAAAGTAGAAAAATGGAGATATTTTCCAAGAAAACAGAAAAATGTTTCTAGTCGTTCCCTCTATCTTGTTTTGACATAAAGATAAGGTTCTTAGCTGAGGGGATGGGGTTTTAAATTAGAGGTGTCTTTCCTGTTATTACTGATTTAATTTGAAAGAACTAGTATAGTCCTGGAGAGTCTGGGGCTAGAAAAATAGTTCTGGCTTCTGGAGCTTGCTCATCCCAGTAGAGAGTTTTGATGTCAAAGTAGATACTTTATTTTTGCTTGGCTGGTTCCACCTTAGATCAGGGATAAGTGTTAAAATCTGTGTCTTGACATTTAAAGTTGTGCATTGTTCCTGTCCTAATTAATTTAGCAGGGCAGGTGGCATGTCATATTCCTCTTAAGAGGAATCGGTCCACAGATTCAAGACTTTTTTTGGTCCCTTGGAGTAAGGTGACCAATTCCAGGCTTTGGGCATTTGACCACTTAGTTCCAAAGCTGTGGAATTCTCTCCTCTGCCACCTTTGTATGGAACCACACTTGGACAAATGTAGACAAAGTTTAAAAACTCGTCTGTTCCATTTGGAGCTGTAGGTGTCAGATGCAGGGAGAGATGAGTGACCAGTGTATATTTATTTGAACTTTTAACAGGTTTCTTAGTACCGTATTTGCCGGCATATGACTTTTTGGCCCTGAAAAACATGCCTCCAAGTGGGGGGGGGTTGTCTTGTACGCTGGGTGCATGTCCAGCAAACCCTCCCTCTCTCCCAGCGAAGTCACTTACCTGGTAGTAAGACGGAGTAGAGCCCAGCTCCTAGCCTGGGAACAGCCTGACTCTAGCGCCAAACAGCTGACTGTTGGGAAGAGCAGAGAGGAGGCAGCCATTTTGATTTGTGACCACATGGCTGCTGCCTCTCAAAATGGCTGCTGCTTCTCCAAAATTGCTGCCGCCTCTCTGCTGTTCCTTCTTCCAGCAAACTCTGGCTCTCTCCGAAAAGGAACCAAAATGGGCAAAAAGAACTCTCCCCATGATGCAGCCAAAGCAGAATCGCATGTGGAAGAGGGGGTAGTCTTATACAGCAAGTATATAACAAACTCTACATTCTGAGTGGGAATGTTGTGGGGTGGTCTTATATGGCCAGTCACCTTATACACCGGCAAATATGGTAATAATTCTACTTAGATCACTGCCTGTTCTGAGGAATTTTATTTGATGTGTGTATAACCATGATGATGATGATAACTGCAATAATTGCATGCCATCAAGTTAATTCTGATTTATGGTAACCCTTTTCTAGATACAGAGTACACAGAAGTGGCTTACCATTATTTTCTTCTGGGGGCATGCTGGGACTTCAGCTTGCCCATGGCCACACACGCTGGCTCTTGTGATAGGAGGCACAGTGGGGAACTTCTGACTCCGCAGCCAGATATTTGAACCATTGAACTATCCAACTATGTATAGCTGAACCAAAAACCTAATTATTATTTATATATTTCAAATATTTTTATCCTGCCTTTTTCCTTAAAAAGAACCCAAAGTGGCTTACATAATTAAAAATATTTAAAAGTCAATATTTAAACGTATACAAATATTTAAAAAGAATTAAGTATCTGGAAGTTGAGTCATGGCAACTGGACTTCTTTCTTATTAGACTGAAACATTTTGCTACTCATCCAAGTAGCTTCAGTCTCAGGAGAGTTGGTAGGAGACCCCTGATATATGTTGGTTTCACTTTCCCCTGGTCTGAATAGGCTTGTTAGATAGACAAAATGACGGGGCGGGGGGGAGTGAAAGTCCCACTTCTGCAGTCCTTTTCCACCCATTGTCATGGGACGTTAACAGTGGTCTTTCTGGGGACAGAGGAAAGGCATCATGATAAATAGGAGCCAGATTGTATCTAAGGCCTCCACCCCTGCTGAGTGAGAGGTTTTCTATAATTCAGTGGTCCTCAACCTTGGGCCTCCAGATGTTCTTGGAGTTAAACTCCCAGAAATCCTGGCCAGCAGAGGTGGTGGTGAAGGCTTCTGGGAGTTGTACTCCAAGAACATCTGGAGGCCCAAGGTTGGGGACCACTGTTCTATATGCACATGTATGGCCTCCCTGACCTCTCTCCCAGACCACCTATCTTCTGGATCCAAAATGAGTACATTTTGGTCATCAAATGAGTATCCTTTTGTCCTTCAAATGAAGGAACACTGCTGATTGTGGTCCTGAGTCGTTGCCCCTCCAGTACAGGAGGGGCAACGACTCATTCTCCTGTTTAGTGGGTGTTTGGTTTCTCCAATGTAGAGCTCTGAAAACTCTTTGCATTGGATGGCACATACTATATTGCTCCTGTTGTGTTTGGTCTTTTGGATGGACAAGTCTCTGCCTTAGTGTGTTTATGGGTTTGAAGTGCATAGGTATGTGGTGTTTACCAAAAATCCTTTTGAGCTTTTCAGATACACCCACCATGTAAGGAATGACCAGGTTCTTCCGTTGCCTCTGGGTCACAGACTGTTCCATTCTCCTGCTGGTTTGGGACATTGCCTTGCATTTCAGTCCAATGCAAAGAGGAGTGCTCTGAGCTCTACAGAGATGGAGGCCTTAAATACAATATGTCTCCCATTTATCATGCTGCCCTTTCATCCGTCCCCAGAAAGATCAGGACCACACCCACCAGAAGACCACTGTTAACAACCCATGAGAATGGGTAGAAAAGGACTGCAGAAGTGGGTTTTTCTCTCACCCTCCCACCTTTGTCTATCTAATGAGCCTATTCAGACCAGGAGGAAGTGAAACCAACCTGGAAGATTTATCAGGGATCTCCTACCAACTCTCCTCAGACTGAAGAAGCTACTTGGATGAGTAGTGAAACATTTCAACCTAATAAGAAAGAAGTCCAGTTGCCATGTTTCAACTTCCAGATAATCTCACCTGGATGACTGAGAATCTTCACAGATAAATTAAATAAGTATTTTATTAAACATGGTAAATAAAATCAATACTAAAACACATTTTAAACAACAGAGCACAACAATCCGTTTAAAAACTGCTTTCAGACTACTAGTTATTAGGAGAAAGCCTGCTTGAAGAGAAATATCTTTGCTTGCTTGCGGAAGGACAACAAAGATGAAGCCTACCTAACTTCCTATTGGAGGGAGTTCCAGAGCCTGGGAGCAGCAACAGAGGAGGCCCTCTCCCATGTCCCCACCAAAAGCATCTATTTAAGTATCAGTTATATAACAGTGTAATATGTGTGCTGTTCCTAATATTGCCATTTATATTGCCACTTATTATCATCTCCCTCATTATTTTGAGCTACCCAAAGAAAGCTATTTGTGCTGCTTCTACCCTCTTCCTCCTCCTCCTCCACGAAGCAGCTGGGTTGTGCAGATCGCCAGGTGGCAGTAGAGAGAATGAACTGGCAAGACTGAACATTTAATTGAATGTATGAACATCCTTTTAAACATGTTTTGTTTTGAGCAAAACAGACTTAAAAGGAGCCTCATATGCAAACCCCTGAAGTCATGAAATCTGGCAGGTTTATTCATTTTCGTGGTCTTCTAATTTCTCCAAATTTCAGACAATCAGTGCAAAAACAAAGGAAGTGTTACAGCTGTTTTATTTTCCTAGAGCCAGTCAATGAGAGGATGACAATCTGAATTTCCAAGTAGGCTTGGATCAGAGGTGCAATTCCTGTTCAATAGGCCCCAAATAACTTTGTGATTAAAAACAGCTGTAAGTCATAGATTCCAGTAGAAGATACAGTTATTTGGATTTTTGAATATTTGGAGTACAAGTTGAAATGGACTGGCTCTGAATCAGTCTGAACTGAAGTGGGGCATTGTCTGAAACACTACATTTGAAACTTGTGGTTGGTACAGATCACAATTTCATGCTATGATTTTGCTCTCCACTTCTGATAGAGAGGAAAACTACTGTTTCCTATACAGTAATAGGGTTTTAACATGTTGACATGGACTACTTTATGGCCTTCATCTTCCCTTTGGAAAATATAATTGACAGCATTCATTTTGGGAACCACTTTGTATGGTCTGATCCACGCTAACTGCAACTTATTTCTTTTTGTGGGTCTCAACATTAATACTTCTTCTCCAGGACCGAATGTTCTTTCCTGGGCTTTTTTATCGTACCAAATTTTCTGTTTATTTTGGGACCCCTTTAAGTTTTCCCCAGCTATCTCTAGGGATCTTTGTAAGGTGTTCATTAAACTATCCATGTATTCTACAATTGACTCAGGGTCCTTTTCTTTATAATCTTCCCAGTTCTGTCGTAACAAATCTAAAGGCCCTCTTACTTTACGACCAAACAAAAGTTCAAAAGGACTAAAATCTGTGCTTTCTTGAGAAATAGCTTGATAAGCATATAGCAGTGGTTGTAATTTATTATCCCAATCATTTGGGTTCTCTGCCACATATGCACATACCATTCTCATTAAAGCTCCATTAAATTGTTCCACTAACCCATTCGTTTGGGAGTGGTAAGGAGATGACATCACATGGGAAATTCCACAGACCTGCCATAGTGTCTTCATTAGTTTGGGAGTAAAGGAAGTTGCTAAATCTGTTATTATTTCTGACGCAAAAACCATTCAGCACATATAACTAATTAACGCATACACCACAGTTTCCATCTCTGTTTCTTAGGGGGACAGCTTCTGGGTATCTGGTGGCAAAGTCAGTAATGGATAAAATATACTTATTTCCTCCTCTAGTTGCCCTGGGTAGGGGGTCCCACAAGGTCTAGACCTAAATGTTGGAAAGGGGTTGAGATACAGGTCTAGACCTAAATGTTGGAAAGGGGTCGAGATAACAGGCAATGGGCATAGTTTAGCTCTAGTTTTGTCATTTCCAGTACTTTGCTTCTGGCAAGTATCACAGGTTTGGCAATATTGCTTAATTTGCTGCCCCATCCCTAGCCAATAAAAATTCTGTGTGGACCTTTGCTTAGTGCGAGGGAGGACCATGTGTGCTCCAAATACATCTTTGGGTGCTTTTTCCAGAATCTTTTCTCGGTATTTAACAGGGACAATTGTTTGTGGGGCCCTTCTCCATCCCTACAAGGTGGCATTAAAACCTCTCTGTACAATAGGTCTTGGTCCACACAATACCTCTCTGGGTGTTCAGGGGAAAGTGGAATGCGATTCTCTTTAACTTTTTCAAAACAATTATTTAAGGTGCTCTCTTCCTTTTGTTCCTTAATAAAGGAGGAACTATTAGGATTTTTCATCAGCACCAAATCAGCAGTCTCCTTTATTTCAGGATGTTCCCCTAAACTGGGTCTTTCAATGAGAGTTTCAGTGTTTGGGATTTCCATGCTTTTGTCAGCAGCTACAGTTTGCTTCCCTTGAGAGCGGGTTACCATGCAAACACTCTGCACATGTTTTGAAAGATCCAAACCAATCAGACAAGGAGCTGGGATTTGATCTGATATAGCTACTTTCCATATACAGTAGTGCCTCGACTTACGAACGTCCCTGCTTGTGACCATTTCGAGTTACAACCAGCTCCAGCCTCAAAATTTTGCTTCTACTTGTGATCGGAGCTTCGACTTATGTACAGAAAAAGGCAGGGGAAAAAGGCGTGAAATACAAATTTCTAACTGTAGGTGGTGACGAGGCTGCGTCTTTGTAGCTCTTTCGCCCCAGCAGTTAGAGAGAGTGTGTCAGAGGAAACTTTGGACTGCCTCCTCCTGCTTCTGAGTGAGCGTGTGTGTGTTTGTAGGGAGGCTTCAGGCTGCCTGGTAAGGTGAGGTGCTTTTTTCTGCTTTTTAAAAACTTCTGGGTGTTTTTGTAGCATGGTTTTAAGCTGGGGCTCTTCTCTAGTCAGACCTATTTGACTGGGCTGAATGTGATTTAAGTCATGATTATGGGTTGTAAAGTCTTTTAATGCAAAGTGAATGTGAAAGTAGTGTAGGTATGCATACTGTTGCCTCCTTTAGGTGAATGTGAATGACTAACTCAAGCAGGACAAGATGCTGTAACACAGGCAACTGGTTGGGCACAACGGGAATCGAATGAAGTGCATGATGGTCTGCTCCAGCCGAATTCATCTTATGTACAGATAGACCTGTAAATTCTGGTCTAACCCCATATAGGTGAATCCTGCAGTGCTGCAAAAGTCTCTAGTACACATACAGAGTTCAGGTCAATAGGGATGAATTGTTTCAAGGTCTGGATGAACTCCACAAGTCCAGCAGATTTCTTTTGCATGCCTTGCTTATGTGTGTGTGTATGTGCACACAGGGTCACTGGCTGGGGGTTGTTAATTTATACTTTTCCATCACAGTTGATTATTTCTGCATTTTTCTCTTTCTAGGCTCGTATCATAGCAGTTCTGGACTGGGAACTTTCAACTATTGGGCATCCTCTGGCAGACTTGGCTTATATTCTTGCTTTCTACCTTTGGCCTAGAACTCTTGCACGTGTGCACACACAGAATTTACAGAGTATATGTGGCATTGCAGGTATGTGCCCATCCTGTCAAAGTTGTTTTCATTTTTTTAAAAAAACTTGTTATGGTTAGGCGTAAAGCAATTATTTGCATAAAGAGATGCCTGACCGTTCCTTCTTAGGACTGTGGAATCAGCTTTTACTAGGTTCTCTGGAAATTATAAATAAATAAATAAATAACTAACTAACTAACTAACTAACTAACTAACTAACTAAATAAATAAATAAATAAGTGGCAGCAGCAGTGCTCAAGTTGGACAGACCCATTTGCTTTATCATGTTTGAGGGAAAAGCAGCGCCATCATCAGACGTCCAGAAAAGTTGGAGAAAGGCAAAAGCCATCCTTACTGGGCTTTGTTTGTCCCCATTTGTCATTCAGTGGCCTTTTCACCATGTTGCAGCACTTTGTAACATCAAGAACTTGTGTCTGAGTTTTCTGGTTTCCTTTTCTTCCTCTCCATTTTCCCTCTTGTGTTGTGCCTGCCTTAGACTGTTAGCTTTAATAGCAGGTGCTCTCTTGTCTTCTTCTTAGCTAATAAGTTGCTTTGAGAATATTTCTAGTGGTAAAGTGGAGTATAAATGCTACAAATAGGGGCCCATAGAGTACAGAGAGGGCACCAGGCTAAGGATGGGACTTACAGGATTTTAACCCATGGAAAGCTACATAGATTTGGTAGTAATTAACAATAATTAATGTATCACTACTGAAACAGCGACGCCTACGTTGGCTCGGGCATGTTGCAAGAATGGCTGATGGTTGGATTCCAAAGGATCTCCTGTATGGAGAATTAGTGCAGGGAAATCGCCCCAGAGGGAGACCACAGCTGTGATACAAGGATATCTGCAAGTGGGATCTGAAGGCCTTGGAATGGATCTCAACATGGATGGTTTCCCATCCCTGACGTCTGAGCGTTCAGCCTGGAGGCAGGTGGTACATCACGCCTCTCCCAATTTGAAGAGACCCTCGCCCAGAAGGCTGAGGCAAAGAGGCAGTCACAAAAGCAGCAAAATCAGGGAGCTAGATGGGGTACAGATTGTATTTGTCCTCAGTGTGGAAGGGATTGTCACTCTCGAATTGGCCTTCTCAGCCACACTAGATTCTGTTCGAAGTCCTCCATGCAGAGCACGATACCATAGTCTCTCGAGACTGAAGGATGCCTATGCCTAACAATAATAAATTCTGTGGGAATTATTTCTGAGTATACATGAAGATGTGTAGAACAGCAAGGTTGATCATTAGGATTTTTTAAAAGCAAATATTGTATTAAAACAATGGATGTGTTTAATTAGGATGTGTTCTTTAAAGAACATCAGTGGCCTTAGGTTACATCCAATAACATCCAAGTGCAAGCTTACAGAGAACTGTCAGAACATAGGAAGTTGCTTTGTATGGACTTGACCTGCTGGTCTGTATGGCCCTTTTTTGTCAATTCTGACTGGCAGCCATTGCTGTCTAGAGTTTCAGGCAGGATTCTTTTCTTTCCAAGTCCTACTTGTCTATCTCTAGTGTTCCCTGGTGGTCTCTCATCCAAATTCTAACAAGGACAACTCTGCGTAGCTTCTAAAATCTGACAGCATTAGCTGTGTGGAATGCGGTATATCAAGTACTGGAGAAATGCCCTTTCCTCTCTTCTGCTGACCCACACTCTCCACAATATTTGTGAACTGAGGGACCTGCTCCCAAGGAAAAGCCTAAGGCATGGAGTGGGAAGCTCCAGCAATGATGGAAGTAGAAGAGTTCCCTGTGTATGGGCATCTTTGTGAAGGCACTGCATTTGGTACTACCCATCACTTGACAGCATATATCACTCCATGAGAGAGCAGCTATGTACCCTGTTTCCCCTAAAATAGGACCTAACCTGTAAATAAGCCTTATTATGATTTTTCAGGATGCTTGTAATATAAGTCCTCCTCCAAAAATAAGCCCTAGTTAAGTGAAACCCCACCCTCCACCATTGTGCAGCAGCCATAAGATGACATGACTTCATTTGAATAAATGTAGATGGTTGTACACGACAAAAATAAAACATCCCCTGAAAATAAGCCCTAATGCTTTTTTTGGAGCACAAATTAATATAAGACCCTGTCTTATTTTCAGGGAAACAGGGTATGTTTTTCAGATCATATGTGGTTCATGTAATTTTCCAAAAGAACTTCACAATTGAATATTAAAACCAACTGTTCATATCATTTTATGTTTTGCCCCCTAGGAATTCCTTCATTTGAAGAACTGACGATGGTTTACTCTCGCTGCAGGGGTACCAGCATTAACTTGTCCAACCTGAATTTTTTTCTTTCACTTTCATATTTTAAACTTGCTTCAATCAGCCAGGTACTATCTATTTTTACAAATATATTAGCACATTTTAAGTATCAGGTGAAAACAACTCCAGAGCAATACTCTTCAATGACATTAGTAAAGCTTTTTGCCAGAAGCAAAGTGATTATTCTCTTTTGTTTTAGCTAGTAAGGGCCCTCCAAAATGATAAGTTATCAGGTATTTAGCAGGGGATTTGTTTGAGTAGTACTAATTTCATTACAGCATGGTAACAGGTAGTGGCATTGTAGCATTTTGGAAACTTCTACGTCTGGATGTTTGGACTGTGGTGGAAGAAGTAAGGGGGGAAGTACAGCCTTTTCATCCACTATTCATAGCAGTTTTCATATTTCAAGTGCAATTTTAAAAAATATTCACTGAATCAAATGTTCCATGCAGAACTTCATCTTTGAGCTGCCAGTTCAACTACACAGTTCAGTCCTGTTTGTTCCTTAGGGTATATATGCCAGATATAACTTGGGAAATTCCTCTGCAGAAACCAGCTCTCAATATGGCAAGCTGGTGAAACCCTTGGCAGAAACCGGATTACAGTTAACAAAAAAGTAAGAAGAATTTACCTGCACGATTTTAAAATTTAACTAGTGACACCAATGCAGCTGAGGTTGCAATGTAGGTTCACCTGGAATGTATATGTCTTTGGACATATTACCACTCTGAACATGCCATTGTTCTCTGATTTTGAAAGAGCAGAAAAGTTGGGCCTGTTTGATCTTTGCATGGGGAACCACAGGGTGAGAAAAGAGACCTGTCTGAAATTATGGGTACCCTGTGTTTTTTTAAAGTTGGACACTTCAGAGTTAGTTCTCTGTAGTCAACATTTGTCCTAAGTCAATAGGCAATGGCAAACTTTCAGGGCTGACTAAGAAATATTCATGCCTAAAGCAAAGGACAAAATGATGCTCTTCCATTCCACACAAACAAACAAACCCTCCCTAACTCCCTTGCTGGCTGTTCTAAGTTATTAATCAAGGCCTGGATCAAGTAGTCTTTGTGCAGGGTAATGAAGAGGCAAGAAATATTATTCAGGTCCCCAGCAGACCAAATTTATTTTATCTTCTAGCAATTCCTAAGGAACGCTCTGCTTGCAGGGCAAAAAGCAACCAGCAACATGTTTGTATTGGTGGATATTTTATGTCCTTTTAATGTAGGAATGGTCATTCTCAGTGACCTTGGGCACCAAATTCTATCCGTAGGTGATACCATTTTCTGCATGGAACCTGGAAATGACTGAAAACATTCATTTAAAATCAAATGTGCACAGTCAGCACTTCTAGTTTGTTTTATTTTGGAATTGGCCCAAATTCCTTAAGTTGAAAATTGCAGCTCTTGGAGGCTAATAAAAACCTTGCTCTCATCCGGGATCCAAAAATGACCTGGGGAGGTCACATGTTGCCCACTCCTGTTTTAATGCTACATGTTTGTTTAGGTCTTTAACTTCTTTCTTAACTGGTTTGTTTACAGAACACAGTTGACCACTGACATTCAGCCTTGTAGTGGAGGAGAATTGTTTTGCCAGTCCAAAGAAGGCAGAGAAGTACTCCAGAAAGTGAAGGAGTTCATGGAAAAATATGTTTTTCCAGCAGAAAAGGTGATATTTATTAAGGTTATGATGAACAAAAACATGGCTTGGTTCTGATCTGTTTCAGTAACATGAACGCTGCTCTGAATGAAGAAAGCCACAATTCCTCAGTTGTGTTTGTGAATGTGAGCTACACAGATGCTAATCCTTACTGGCCTTTGGTATTTCTAGTTTATAGAGAGGTAGGTGTGACCATGTGCAGAGGTCACCAGTCACAGTTGGATAAGGAGGGAATTTAACAGGTGCTCTCAGTCAGCTCTCTCCTTGGTGACAAAGTGCCTTTTAATGGGCTGTAGAGGTGGGCATGACTTAAGTCATGCCACATCGTATGAAGTCCCCCACATGGCACCATAGGTGCTGTGCATTTCGTCCCCCCGCCCCCGGCTGGCTGCCCCACTCACAATCCGTCGCACGCTGCTGGGGTCCTCATTCTCCGGCAGCTCTCCACTCCAGGCAGGAGCTCGAGCTGCACTTCCCCACCTTCTCTGGCAGCCAACCATTCAACTGCTGTGCGGAGAGAATCCCCATCCCTCCTCCTCATCTGAGCAGTTGGCTACTAGAGGAGGCAGGGAAGGGCCTCCTGACCTCCTGTCTGGACTGGGCAGTTGGCGAAGGAGGAAGACCCGGACGGTAGGCGAAGGATTGTGAGTGGGACAGCTGGCCGAAGGTGGGGGGGGAGGGAACACGCGGCACCTGTGGTGCTGTGCAGAGGACTTTGTACAATGCGACACAACTTAAGTTGTGCCCATTTCTAGTTGGCTAGCATCTCTACTGGTGCTCCCCACCCCCATGATTATTGTGCAACAAGCACTGTGATCTCTCGTGAGCAGCTGAGAACTACTTATTTTAATTTTATATAATTGACCTAGGAGGATAACATGCCCTACTTTATAGAAGGCATTCCTTAGTTTAAAGTACGGTAAGAGGAGAATTCCCTATTCAATGGGCTTGCAATCCAATTATATATAAAAAATAGGAGACAGAAGTTATCCTTTCATACACAACATCTGGTCAAAATCCCCGAGATGCAAAGATCACTTGGAACCATCATCCCCATTGTGATGAAATGTATTCTTTTCTAAATTTTCACTTCTAAATTACTAATTATGGATCCTATACAAATCGGTGCCGTTTTTGGGGTGGGAGAGGTGATGGGATCATTCCAGTAATGCTCCTGTCACATTGTCCAATCCATGGCATTATGGAAAATTAAATGGTAGAGAGCTCCCAGATCCAATCTGCATCCAGTTGTCCGAGGCCATGATGATGATGTTGGAGCTTCAGGGCATACAAGCTGCCTAAGGATGGTGGGTGCTGATACAAGCATCAGTACAGCTCCTGTCCTTGTCAAGAGATCATCCTCTTCCTCCGAACCATTTTAGCAGCAAAGATGAGACTACAGGGTCCTCTTTAACCACTGTGCAGTGCAACCAAAGTACTTCAACAGCAAGTGCTAAAACAATACATAACACAGTCAGTTCTTAAACACTAGGGATGGGATTATAACTAAATATTACAGCTGTGTAATAGTGGAAAGGACTAATGTAGAAGGTGGTGGGAGCTCATTCGTTGGAAGTTTCTAAACAGAGGTTGGATGGCAGCTGACAGATATGCTTTAACTAGATTTTCTGCTGTGGCAGAGGACCTGGGATAGGTGGCTGTTGGGGTCCTGTTTAACTCTGCAGTTTTATGACTTTCGTGTATTAATTCATAAAGTAATACATCAATACTGAATAGGGATAATATTTTAAAATATTTTAATAATTAAAATTTTTTGACAACCATCTTTCAGATATACTTTGATTTGGGTTCCTGCTTTGAGCAGGGGAGTGGACTCTGTAGCCTTAAAAGCTCTTTCTGAACTGTTTTTAATAAAAAGAAAATGTTTTTAATAAAAAAGAAAAATGATGATGTGGTGTTATTTTTGTTGCTCCTCCACCCTGTAAGATTAAAGAAGCTTATACTTACAGACCCTGATATTTGTGGCTCTTTATCACAATCCAAGAAGCCAATACCATTCAGTCCAAAGAACCCCATGGCACAGTGGTTAAACTGAAGAACTGTAGTGAAGCCTCTGCTTATGACCTGAGTTCAGTCCTGATGGGTTCAGGTAGCTAGCTCAAAGTTGACTCAGCTTTCCATTCTTCCCAGGTTGGTAAAATGACTACCCAGCTCCCTGGGCAGCAGGTTGTTTTTGCATAATTATGTTGTACACTACGGATCAAAACAACAACAATAAAAACAAGTCTGTTGAGGCATGAGTAATCCAGTGAGATGTACGGAGAAAAGCATCATACTGTGATAACAAATGTTACTTTACTGTGTAATCTAATGATGTCTTTGGTTTTTTCAGGAAATGGTAGAATATTATGCCAAAACTAAGCATTCACCAGATGCATGGAAAAAGCCTGCTGTGATTGAAAGTCTGAAGGTATCCTTGTTTCTGTCTGAAACAGCATAGTTACAGGAGGATGCTTCTGAAGTTGTTGATAACTATATAAATATTACTTAAATAATGATGTGTGGGCTTTTATTCTGTGCAGACTTAAGAATTAATGTTATGGGACAGTCCTAAGCTATTTGTTTTGTTTCATTTTTTTAAAAAAAGTATTACTCATCTTAATTCATCCAAAGATGATCCAAGCAGATAATATACTATTGTCAAGACATGGCATAACATGAAATACCTGTTGTTCCAAAATGATATTCTAGGGGTAAAAATAGGACTGTTTCTTCCATGGGAGATTACAGTGCTCAAGCTTGAGAATGTAGGGGTGAGCAATGTGTGACATCTCTCATTCCACCCCACCCAGCATAGCTAGCTGAGAAGGGGAGTCATCATCCAACACCTTTTTCAAGGCTACATATTCCTCATCCTTGATATGGGAAACCCTGGAGCAGTAGAAAGAGGTGCAAAATACAAGGATGACTGGGCATGAATGGATATTTATGTAGCTATACCTTGTGCTTATATCTTGTCACAAAACAGGGCTCAAGAGTGCTAAAAGCAAATCATGTAAACACATTGGTTAAAAAAGAAGAAATACAGTACTATCAGTTCAAAAGGATGGGCAGTAGGTTGGTTGCCCTGCATATGTTTTTGGAGCGCAGGTAGCTTTAACAATAGCCAGTGGTGATGATGAAAATTGCAGCCCAACGACATCTGGAGGCAATCATGTTCCCTGCTCTAGACTTAAAATCTGTATCTGCAAACATGTCTACTTCAAATCCCAAAATGTGCCTGAATATGAAGATCTGCTGTATTTGGGAGCTTCTGTTCAGTGTGGTGACTGTCATCAAAAGGAGCTGTTCTCATGTTGACATGTGAATGCTGTGAACAGATAAGAGCTCACTCTGCCATTTTTGCAAGGGCTACAGCTGCTAAAGCAGACTACTTTTAAGAGTGAGTGGCAGCTTACCTCTGCTGCAGGATCTGCAGTATCCAAAATCAAAGAGGGAGCCCTAGCTCCAAGTTTCAATCTGTCATCAGCATGTTAATTTCTGTTTCAATGTGGCTGTGGGTGGGATATTTAATGGTGGAAGTGACTAGATACGATATAAGGAAGGAACAGAAAAAAGGTGCTCAAGGAAAAACTGTAAGTCAGCCCTAACATTTTTTAAATGAAAATGATTCCCATGATTTTCCATGTAAATCATCTCACATAAATCTGTTTAGGATTCCAGTTATGTTAAAATGATTATTGAATGCTAGATATTGGAAGAGTTACTTTTTTGCACTACTCAATATCTCCCAATCACCACACCGCAGCATGGCTACCACACCAGTAGCCATGCTAGCTGGGAAGCCCTGGAAGTCATGATCCAAAAAAAGTAATGTTGAACATCACAGCTTCATGGGTCCTTTTCCTTGTCTCATCAGGCACAGGCCAAAGCAGAGGGGCTCTGGAACCTTTTCCTGCCAGCGATTAGTGGTCTTGGCCAGGTTGACTATGCGTTAATTGCAGAAGAGACAGGAAAGTGCTACTTTGCTCCTGAGGTCTTCAACTGTCAAGCACCAGGTTTTTACTATCCACTTCCATGCCAGAATTTTCTTGTTTATTATATTTAATGCCAGATGGACTATAGATGGCAATAGCTATGTTTCCTGTATTTTCCAGACACAGGAAACATGGAGGTCCTGCACTTGTATGGGACAGAAGAACAGAAGAAACAATGGCTGGATCCTCTCCTGGATGGGACAATTAATTCTTGTTTCTGCATGACAGGTAATAATTAGTGCTTGGAAATGTTAGTGTGATATTACATTATTTAAGAATTATGTTCTGGTAAAGTATTAATTTGTTAAAATAAGTCTATGTTTCTATTTTGATTTGTGTACATTTTATAAATTAAGAAATATAATTTAAAATGACTAAATATGACCAGTAATAAATTTGTGAGAACCTGTATTCATTGCTCAAAAGTAAAAGTGTTGAATGTGTTCAGCCGGGATCTGATGGTTGTTGTGGGTTTTTTTGGGCTATTTGGCCGTGTTCTGGACCAGAAAATGGCCAAATAGCCCGAAAAACCCACAACAACCTTAAAAGTGTTGACTTTGAAGGATTAAAATAATTAGTTGTAAAATCATTGCTGCAAATATTATCATATTAGGGGTAACAATTTAATTTTAATGAATTATTCCATGGTCCTATGATTATTTCTTTATATAACTGTAATATTCATATGTAGCAGGGGAAAACACAGCAATTCTCAAATTTTACAATTTCCAATTTTTAGAGTAATTTTCTAGGCACAGCTTCAGTTAGGAATTTAGATTTTATCCAAAACAACATGATTTCCTATGGGGGAACGCCCCTCCTCAAAGTTACTAAGCTGTTGCCTGATTCTACAGTAGTAAACACTCTCCTAGATGACGTCACAGCTGCTTCTGAGAGGAGGTGTGGTTACCCATTCTTCCTCTTTCTCATAGTGATAGGGAGCTAACTTCAAAGCCTTTATTTGGGCCAATCCTAGTGACATTATGCAACCATTGTCCTATCTGAACTCTGTCAACTATCTGTGAGCTTGTAAGGTTAATAAAACACAGTCCTCCTGGGGGCAGGACAGTCTTATTCGAACTCTTCTACTTGCTGCCCATCAGGAGCACTGCTGGCAGACATCCTTGTGTGTGTGTGGCTGACTTCATTACCTTCTCTCTCTAAGACTATTTGCTATCCTAATTATCTGGTGATCACCTAGCCTATCAGCCTTCTCATTTCGTGACCCTACAATTTCCTCCCTCCTCTTTATGGACTTTGGAAGATGAAGTCCTCCACAATAGTTCTGCTCTCAGTTCCTGCTTCCTGTCTGCTGTTGGTGGCAGGAGCAGACCAGGTATATATGAAGAAAAAAGGAGAAAAATCTTGTTTGTTTTCCCTTCTTCCTTCTGTCTTATTCTGATAGAGCAACAGTGTGCCGGCATACAAAGCCTGTGAGGGTCAGGGGAGATATTATTTTCCTAAAGGCTTCTGCAGTCATGAAGTCCCAGTCTTTGCATCATGATGTGTAGTTGGAGTCTCAAGCTGATGAAGGGGAAAAACTCTCTTGTCGGTCCTTATTTAGCCCTGAAGCTACTTCTGCTACCACTGCTGGCACATCAGGAGCAAGGAGAATATGCAGAAACAACTTCTTTATACTTTTGCTTTGGATGCAAAAAGCTCAATGTTTGATTATTTTATTTGATACAGAACCTGATGTTGCTTCCAGCGATGCTACCAATATCCAGTGCAGCCTTCAGAGAGATGGAGACAGCTATATAATTAATGGCAGGAAGTGGTGGAGCAGTGGTGAGTGAAAATAATTTGTTCAACCAAATGCCTGAGAATCAAATTAGACTTTAAGGGATATTCTTAGTCCATATGATTAATCTGTGACAATAGGATTTTGTCAGAGATGTGTGTGTCAGCAATCAGACTTGCAATATAAGCTTAGGCTACGGAAAATTGTAAGTACCTTCTCATGATTATTTACAAAACAAGGCATACTAAATACAAGAGAACTAGTTATTTTACATCTATGTAACCCAGGTTTCTTGGGGACGTGGTGGCGCTGCAGGCTAAACTGCAGAAGCCTGTGCTGCAGGGTCAGAAGACCAAGCAGTCGTAAGATCGAATCCGCGCAACGGAGTGAGCGCCCGTCACTTGTCCCAGCTCCCGCCAACCTAGCGGTTCGAAAGCATGCAAATGCAAGTAGATAAATAGGGACCACTTCGGTGGGAAGGTAGCAACTGGCCATGTGAACACGGAAGATTGTCTTCGGACAAACGCTGGCTCTATGGCTTGGAAACAGGGATGAGCACTGCCCCCTAGAGTCGAACACGACTGGACAAAAATTGTCAAGGGGAACCTTTACCTTTACCTTTAACCCAGGTTTCTATGTTTCTTGTGCAAATTGCACAAGAGAGTAAAGGGGTAAAGTGGAGATTATATATTATGTTTGAACAGATAATGCATGGATATAGAAAATTTGGCCTACCAGATGGTTTATATTGCAACTCTCAGAAAGCCTTGGCAACTTATGGAAATAATTAGTCAGAAAATTTAGCCAGTAAATGTGGAAATAATTACGTATTCGCAGAGGCTTTCACAGCCGGGATCTAATGGTTGTTGTGGGTTTTTCGGGCTCTTTGGCCGTGTTCTGAAGTTTGTTCTTCCTAACGTTTTGCCAGTCTCTGTGGCCGGCATCTTCAGAGGACAGCACTCTGTGCTCTGATGTAGTTGGCTTGGGAGTGGAGTGTTTATGGCTGTGAGATGGGCTTTTGTCTTTTCCTGTAGATGGGTGATTAGTGTGTCTTGTTGTGGGTGTATTGTTGTGATAAGAACCTTCGCGAATACATTGAACGCCCCTACGGGGAGGAAACAGACAGACCCGGAGACTGGAAACACTCTCTGAAGCAAAAGAGCACACCTACTATGTTCCTTAACATTTCTACTATGCTGCAGAGACACAAAAACCATACCAGCCTTCCTCAGGACAAAAAGGACCAACATTTCCCCACAGGCCAGCCGCATCTACGACCGCCTGGAACATGCCCTCCTACGGGAAAGAATTCACACAACCCTAAAAAAACTGGACTCCACAGACAAAGAACTACTAGGCCTATACATCACTATTAGCCAAAAAAAAATGAGAAGTCAAGATTGGGACAAGATTGATACCCTCTCTTACAAAAAGATGGAAAA